GAAAGCCAACAAACAAAAACCCCGTTTTCGCTTCAACAGGATACAACCCTAAACCCCAAACCCTAAACCCCAAAACAGGGAAGACGGGTGCCACTAGGCATCCAGGGAAACATACCCGAAGCCCCAAACCCTATATCCCGCTCTGGCTTCCCTTCTCTTCGACTCTTTCGTGCGGCGGAGGCGCCAGAAATAGAGTCCCTGCAAAGAAATCAAGTTACCGGTCTCGGGTTTGGGGTGCATTTGGGGAGCTGAGGATATACAATGTGGGGGTTTCGGGCTTCGCATTCAGGCTTTAATTGTGTTTTCGTGGTTTGCAACGTCTAAATCAGGTACAAGGGCGCGCAGCGCCTGGAGTTTTAGGATGAGGGAGGTGCTAACGGCAACCTCTCGCTCCGTCGTAGCAGACTCTGTTACCCTGACGGTTTGAGTTGAGTTGAGTTGCAACGTCTAAACCTGTAGGGTCGAGGGCTTTGTGAGGGCAAAGGGGCTTAGTTAGGATCTATGCGGATGGGGTTTAGGGTTTGGAGCGTCGCGAAGCCTTGCCGAAGGCGGGGTTTAGGATTTGGGTTTTGAAGTTTGGTGTTTGGGGTTTAACAGTTGGGGGGGTTAGGGTTGGAGGTCGGGGGTTTAGGGTTTAAGGCTTGGGTTTAGGATTCATATTAGGCTTTGGGTTTTGGGTTTAACATCCGCTGCCCCACGCAGCTGCTAATGTCCAAGCCCTTGTCAACTGGAGCCGAGACTTTCGCCCTAGGAATCAAGAAGCTCCGGGTCTAGCGTTTATAGGGTTGCCGTTTTGTCTCGCTATGGCTCATAGAAGGGAACCTAACCCTCCAGTAAAGGAACCGGGGCTCCGCAAGGGAGCATCCGAAACTCGATGATAAGCCCTATGGTTTAAGGTTTAGGGTTTAAGGGCTTTGGGTTTTGGATTCTGAGTTCAGGGCTTAGGGTTTTGGCTTAGAAGACCTAACGCTCTAAGCGCCCACCCTAAGCCCTAAACCCTAAACCCTAAACCCTAAACCCACACATCACGAAGCTTGGGGGTCTTCGCCTGCCCGGGCCGTGTAAAGGGCAGCGTCGGCCCGCCGCGCTCCGCAACGGCGCGGGGTGTAGGACGGAGGACCACGCCATTGAAAACCTTTGGGGTTTGGGGTTTAGGGTTTAGGATTTAGGGTTTAGGGTTTAGGGTTTAGGAGTTAGGGTTCAGGCCACTACTACAGTCCGGGCTATTACTGGGTTAGGGGTTGAAGGTTGCTAGGGAAGTCGCACAAACAGCGTGAGGGCGGTGTTTAGGGTTTTAGGGAGACAGGAAGGGCAACTCCCTCTGGTGCTGAGGTGCGAAACCCGAAAGCCCTGAACGTCTAAAGCCTTCGGTGTATTTCCGGGCCAAGGGTTTGAGAGGATTCGGGCTTCTGGCCAAGGGGGTATAATTCGAAGTTTCTGGCTTTTGGGCTTACGGTTTTGGGGCTGAAGGATTGAGGCTCCGGGTTTAGGGTTGAGGTCTAAGGGTTTAGGGCGGCTTAGGGTTTGAGGTGAGTTTAAGGTTCACATTTTTGAGGTTTTGGGATTCTGGCTCTCCACCCTGCATACGAACATGTGAGATGGATATGGATGGATCAGCCTGCTTAGGTTTGAGGGTTTTGGGTTTACCCTAAACCCTAAACCCCAAACCCTAAACCCCAAACCCTAAACCCTAAACCCTAAACCCGATGCAAGCGGCTACGATGTGCTCCGTGCCGTCTGAGTGGAGCAGCGTGGGCCTCCGTCGTGCGGGATGGGTCAGGGCCAGAGTACAGCCTCGCCCAAGGACCCTAAACCCGAAAGCCCCCCCCCCCCCACATTAAAAAAACCTGAGGGTTTAGGGTGTAGGGGTTTACCAGCACATCTTCACTAACAGCCTGAATCGTACAGTAGGATCCCTGTGGCAGTTAAAGCAAAATACACCCTAAATTCGAACCCCTAAACCCAAACCCCAAACCCTGCACCCCTAAACTCTAAACCCTACAACCCCGAACCCTAGACCCCCCCCCCCCCCCAAAAAAAACACAAACAAACCTCTAAACCCCCCTTTAAAGCCCCCTTTCAACCCCTTTAAAGCCCCCTTTCAACCCCTTCAAAGCCCCTTTAAACCCCCCTTTAACCCCCTTTGAAACCCCTGAACCCGAAAACCCTTCAAACTCGGGCGAGGCCGAAGGCCTCAAGTCCAGGTCGACGGGCTGCCGCGACCGCTGCACGCGCCAGGACATGGAATTCACCTTGGGCTTGGAGTTTGGGGGTTGGGGTTTGGGCAGCCCCGTCACTTGTGCCCACGCGATCGCGGTCACTTGTGCCCACGCGGTTTCGGGTCACTTGCGCCCACGTACCCCGTCACTTGTGCCCACGTACCCCGTCACTTGTGCCCACGTACCCCGTCACTTGTGCCCACGTTTCTGGGGGGGTGGGGGGGTGGGGAGGGGGGGGGATAAGAATAAGCTTGTTTGAGGCGGTCAACACAACCACATCCAGTCAACCACATCCAGTCCCAACGGGTGAGGAGGAGGGGGGGGGAGGGGAGGGGGGGGACAAGAATAACATCCAGTCACCCGCCCTGCAACGGGCGGGGGGGAGGGGAGGGGGGGGGGATAAGAATAAGCTTGTTTGACGCCGGTCACCCGCCCTGGGGGGGGCAACACAACCACATCCAGTCAACCACATCCAGTCCCAACGGGTGAGGAGGGGGGAGGGGGGGGGAGGGGGGGGGGGGGGGGGGGGGGGGGACAAGAATAAGCTTGTTTGACCGCTCAACACAACCGCATCCAGTCACCCCCTGCAACGGGGGGGGGGGGTGGGGAGGGGGGGGGGGAGGGAGGGGGGAGGGGGGGGGGGGGGGTAGGGGGGGGGAGGGGGGGGGGACAAGAATAACTTATTTGACCCATCACCCGCCCTGCAACGGGGGGGGGGGGGGGTGGGGATAAGAATAAAGCTTGTTTGACGCCAAAACCACACCCAGTCACCCGCCCTGGAAACGGGTGAGGGGAGGGGGGAGGGGGGGCAACACAACCACATCCAGTCAACCACATCCAGTCCTAACGGGTGAGGGAGGGGGGAGGGGGGTGGAGGGGGGGGACAAGAATAAGCTTGTTTGACGCGCTCAACACAACCGCATCCAGTCACCCGCCCTGCAACGGGGGGAAGGGGGGGGGGATAAGAATAAGCTTGTTTGACGCCACACACCACACCCAGTCACCCGCCCTGGAAACGGGTGAGGGGAGGGGGGATGGGGGGGGGGTTCGAGGGGCAAAAACGACTGTTGTTGACCAACGCGCCCTGCACGGTCAGCCGCAGGGGGAGCCCTGCACGGTCAGCCGCAGTGCTTGGGAGGGGGTGGAGGGGGAAGGGGGCGGGGGGGGCTTGGGCGGGCTGGGCGTCTACAGACATCTCACCCAAAAGGAGCCTTCCACGCAAGGCCTCAGGTCAGTTGTTTCTGGGTCCAGGGTTCGGGTTTGGAGGGGTAAAAAAACGACTGTTGTTGCCCGATGCGCCCTGCACGGTCAGCCGGAGTGCTTGGGAGGGGGTGGAGGGGGAAGGGGGAAAGGGGGGGCTGGGTGTTTACATAAGTTGGTCTCGATTCAGGCTTCCAAGCTAGGTCTCTGGGGGTCTCATGTAATATAGGGTGACATTGATGAGTACATGTTTTGATAGCGATGCTCATGATGTTGGAGCCAGCCCACCCCTGTCGGGAAAATGAAACGGGCAACCTGAGAAAACTGCGTCCACTTGAATGGGGTGACAGGTGGCAGGGGCAGAGAGCCTGCCGGATGTGGCAGGGACGCGACTTTTCAACCGACAAACACCTCATCCTGTGGCCCTGCCATATTTTAAGACCGAAAGGTGGGCACAAGTGACAGGTCTGCGTTTTGGCGGGAGGTGGCCCAAAGTGCGGCCCTGCTGTGATTTGAGGCACGTACGCGGGCACAAGTGACCCGCGTAAGGCGGGCACAACTGACCAGCCTAAAGCGGGCACAAGCGACCGGTCTGCCTGGGGTTTGGGGTTTGGGGTTTGGGGTTTAGGGTTTAGGGTTTAGGGTCTAGGGTCTAGGATTTAGGATTGAGGATTTAGGGCAGGGTTTAAGGGTTCAGGGGGAAAGGGGTGACGGTTTAGGGTTCAGGGAAAAGGGGGCATTGTCCAAAGGGCGGCCTGAAGCAAGCGGGAGTCGGGTTGAGGGCTTGGAGGTCTTGAAGATTCGAGTTCAGGGCTCCTTTTGCTCACTGGGTCAAGCCTAGGCCCCACACCCTGAATTCTGGAACCCTTCAGACCCTGTACCCTGAAAGCTAGGCAGAAACTGGGCTCGGAGGATACAGATGTCTAATTTCCGCGGCCAAGATGGGCAGGCAATCTAGGATTTAGGGGTTTGGCGTTTTAGGGACAATTTTGCGGCTTCAGCTTCATAACCAAAAGGAGCACCAAAAACAACCGTGCCCCCCTCCCCCCGCCCCCTCCCCCTGAAGAGCGAAGCCACCGCTTGTGCCACATGGCACTTTCGCATCTCCCGCTCGACCTCCTTGGATGGGTGTTCATGCTTGGCTACAGACGAGGCTATTACATTCTGGAAGCCCTAAGCCCGAAGTAGATGCCAATAAGCAAATGATAGCTCCTCCCCCCTCGAAGGCCTAAAACCCCCTGTTCAGCCCTAGAAATCCCTCAAAACTCTCAAAAAAGAGACCTGGGGTCGGGAGCTGTGGGGTGTATGATGCGTCTTTCGCGCCTAGGGCCTAAGCTCTTTTTGAAGAGGCTTAGGGCTTTTGATGCCTACAGAATGGGGGGGGAGGGGGGGGGGATGAGGTTGCAGCCCAGGAGCATGTGGCTTGGTCACGGGTTTGCCGTTGATGCTAAGGATGAGGTCGCCTGAGCTTCGCGTTGAAGGTTTGGGGCCCGGGTTTCCGGGCCAAACAATATAACATGGTCAACGGCACACGGCTATCGCGGCTATGGGAGTCTGAACAAGATGTCCTACTCATGATCTTCACGCGAGAACCACTGGTAGCTGTCCCTGCCCCAGGTCGAAGGTGATGACCGCAGGCAAGTGACCCTCCAGGAGAACGCCATCGCAGCCGCCACCTACCATCATTGATGAGCTCTCTGCACCCTAAACCCTGAACCTTAAGGCCCTAAACCTTAAAGTTAAAGGGGAATAAAGGTACTACTACGACGACGACGACGACGACGTCGACGACGACCACCACCATCACCACAGCGACGGCCACGGCGACGGCGACGCAACCCTTCTAAACCCCGAACAAGAGTCCCTGAAGCCTGAACCCTACATCGGGGATAATATGTTTTTAGGGTGCTACTGAAGCATCTACCCAAAGGCCCCCACAAAAAAGCATTAAGTGCCTGAGGTGATCCGGCCCACGCGGAGGATGTGCCGCCGACCGCCTGAGCTGCAAGCAGCCAGCGCACGGGCATTCTCCAGGGGCACGCCGTCCTCGTTTAGGGTTTAGGGCTTAGGGTTTAGGGTTTAAGGTTTAGGGTTTAGGGTTTAGGGTTGTTACAGATCCCAAGGAGGATATTGGGACTCCTGCTATGAATGGGTTTATAGGTAAGGTTTACGGGGCAATGCTTGCGGGCCCGTGAGTCTAGGCTGAGGGTTTCTTGAGGTGAAACGCGCCAAGAACGCGGGTCCTCTCGGCGTGCCTTGGCCAAAGAGACCTGCTCCGTGTGCTGTTGACTCTTCACCACAAAAACATCAGCAACAAATAAAAGCTGGGTGGTGCTCGAGCAGAGCGGCGAAACACTTAACCTTTGGAGGCTCGTCACCCCGGCCCCAAAACAGACCTATGACCTGCAGCACACCTGTTCAGCACCTAATTAAGCAAGCCCCCCACAATTGTCTAGTAACCCTACGACCCTAGTAGTAACCCTGGTGGGACCGGCAATCAGGCACCCGAGGAAGTTGACTAGTTAGCCCATGGTGGAAGTGAGGGGGGAGACCAGCGGGGGCGGGTGGGGGGGGGGGGGGGGGGGGGGGGGGGCGGGGGCTGCGGGCTTCGACTCTCAAGGGACTCTAGGGTTGAGGGCACGAAGGCCCCAAGAAAGGACCCTGACTAAGAACAACCCCGCAATTCACCCGAAGCCCCGAACAAAAACTTCCCATCCGCCTCGACCCTACGAGTACAGGGACCAGCCCCCTTGCCATGAACCCTTTGGGGTTCCGGTTTATGAGGTTTCGGGCTTTTCGTGCGCCTCTTCAAACTCGCACTCCAGGGCGGCCACCGCCAAGGTGGGGTCCTTGTCACTTTGCTGTTGCCGTTGATGGGCTTGGCGGCCCATAGGAACCTTAAACCCGAAAACCCCCAAAATGTTAAAGCCTAAACCCGCCAGCTGGAGCCAAAACAAGCAAAGCGCTGGAAACCAGAGCCCTTGAAGCCCCCCTAAAAAATGAAACCTGAGCCGTCCCACTTGTGGTGACTGTCATTTTTCCTCTCTCTCTCTCTCTCTCTTTCTTTCTCTTTCTCTCTCACTCTCTCTCACACTCACACTCACACTGACACTGACACTGACACTGACACTCACACTCACACTCACACACTCTCTCTCTGGGTTTAGGGTTTAGGGTTTAGGATTTAGGCTTTAGGGTTCCATGAACCAGAAGAGGTTGGAGTTTACAAGATGGGTTTAGGGTTTAGGGTTTCGGGTTAAGGAATTAGGGCTTCGGGCTCCCGAAAAAAGACGCTCTGGCCGCCCAATCTTTGTCGACACTGCTTGCCTGCGCACCCCTAACCCTCGCAGCCGAAGCTACCTCGAAGGGCCCCTCCAAACAACACCAAACCGGAAACTAAACCCAAAACTTCGAAGCCCTCCAAACCCTAAACCTCAATCTCCGAACCCTCAACCCAAGCCCACAGGACAACAAGACACGCCGGAAGCATGCCCCAAAGCACCCCCGGGCACGATTTGGGACCCTGGCCACTGCCGGACCCCGCTTTCCCGCCCAGGTCCCCTGTGTGGAGGCGGGGTTCGGGTTTGGGGTTAAGGGTTCGGGTTTGGAGTTTAGGGTTTATGAGGGTTTAGGGGTTTAGGGGTTTAGGGTTTGTAGGGTTTGGGAATTAGGGGCTTTTTTTTTGGGGTTGCGCGGTTCTGAGGATTAGCGGGCTTAGGGTTTGTTGGGCTTTGGTTCATACACAAAAACCAATCAAATACAAAGACATGTACATATACATCTACATCTACATATACACATACACATACATATACATATACATGTATAATTAAATATCGTATATATATATATATATATACTATATGGGTGGTTGTCAAAATCATGATCCCTTTTGGGGTGCCCTAAATATTAGGTGCCGTATCATGATAGGGATCCAAAAAGGACCATGATTTTGACAACCACCCATATATATATATATATATATTACACAGATACGCCCTGATTACTGATTTCCCATGCCCAGTTTGTGATGACCAGTTCCTGAGTTGCTGCTTCTGATTCGCGCTGCTTTCTGGCTCGTAGCTTCCGATTCCGGGCTGGCTTTTGATTCGTCTGAAGATCAGGTTTAGGGTTTAGGGTTTAGGGTTTAGGGTTTAGGGTTTAGGGTTTAGGGTTTAGGGTTTAGGGTTTAGGGTTTAGGGTTTAGGGCTCCTGTTGTGTGGAGAGTTGCCTCTCCAGCAAAGCGAGGGTATGCTGCGAGAACCTCTTGGGCCTAGGAATATCCTCCATACCCACGCCGTAACCCTGATGCCCGAAAGAAGCATACCAGCAAAACAACCAGCGCAGAGTATGGACATGCTCCAGGAAGCTTCAGCTTAGCCTCCCTAAACCCTAAACCCTAAACCCTAAACCCTAACCCCTAAACCCATAAACCCTACAGTTTTGCAGCGACCGGCATTTGGGTGCCTGGAGCGGCAAGCCGAGGGAGGTCAGCACGGCACCAAAGACCTGTGAGCTGGGATTCCAGGGATTCTTTAGGGCTTAGGGTATAGGATTTAGGGTTTAGGGTACAAGTTGGGATTTTCCCACGTATACTAACAGTCCTTAATGGGGATGATAGTAGGGGGTACTAGAATCCCTATTAAGGACTGTTAGTATATCTAAGGAGGAACATCCCGAGGTATAAGGTATGAATAGAAACAAGCTATAATTCTGGACGTGCATGTCGGATGACAAGATCCACAAGCAACCAAGCCCTACACCCTAAACCCTAAAAGCTCAAACCGCCTAAACCCTAAACCCTAAACCCTAAACCCTACATCCTCCCGCCCTGAACCCCCCAAGCCCTCACCCGCGGGCTAGGAGCGAAGTTGCTTGAAACATCAACTGCCGCTCCCACCGTCTACCTCGCTTCAGACACAAGAAACCCGGCCCATGGCTCTCTCATTCGAGTTTCAAGGTTTCCTAAACCCTTAACCTTGACCAGAGACTCGTGTGCGAACAGCCAAAATCCAAGTCTGCTGAAACGTCTTTGCGTGTTTGCTCTCGTGAACTCTAAGGGACAAAGAAGGGTGGGGGGGGGGGAACTTGCCACGCAATCCGACACTATCCATCTGCACAATAAGACAGCAATGGCTTCCGCATAACTCCTTATCTATAACGTCCTTGTATCGCTTGCTGCTATTCCTATCTTGTGCTTTTTTACAGTGCAGGGCTACTGGGCTTGAATTCAACCTCATTCAAAAATACGAGTATATCGGGGTACCTAATTTGGGGGAATATATATGTATATATATATATATTTATTTATTTATATTTATTTATTTATTTATTATTTAAACAGTATCGCTTGCTGCTATTCCTATCTTGTGCTTTTTTACAGTGCAGGGCTACTGGGCTTGAATTCAACCTCATTCAAAAATACGAGTATATCGGGGTACCTAATTTGGGGGAATATATATGTATATATATATATTTATTTATTTATATTTATTTATTTATTTATTATTTAAACAGTATCGCTTGCTGCTATTCCTATCTTGTGCTTTTTTACAGTGCAGGGCTACTGGGCTTGAATTCAACCTCATTCAAAAATACGAGTATATCGGGGTACCTAATTTGGGGGAATATATATGTATATATATATATATATTTATATTTATATTTCTTTATTTATTTATTATTAAAACATATCAAGGGGGCCAACCTAACCTTGGCTAGCAAAGATCCCCCCAGCCTGAACTGGCACGCCGGCCAAGTATCGAAGGCTGCCTTGCACATTGCTCAGAACTTCTCCGACTTCAGGGTTTAGGGTTTAGGGTTAAGGGTTAAGGGTTTAGGGTTTAGGGTTTAGGGTTTAGGGTACGCAAATTCTCGCATCGCGCTGCGGCATCGCACTGTGATGCAGGATACTACTTGAAATGCTGACTTGAGCAACATTCCTTAAAGAATGGGCTTTCTAAGCTCCGGCCTGTTGGCTAAACCCAGAACTGCGACTGGAAGTCTGCAGTTCAACCCTGGAATTCTTGGCCCTCAACCCCTAAACTGGGGTATGTTTGGGGGCCCTATATAAATTAAGTTTGTATGGGTTTATGAGGATTACATAGGGGATTCGGGGAATATAAATTTAGAAAAACACAGATTCAAACCTAGCCCTGTACACTGGCTAAAGCTAAAGAGCATAGGCATAGGGCTCAGGGGTTTCGAGTGCAGCTAAACCAAAGTTCCTTCAGCAGGAAAACCCTCGAAACCCGCAACTTCTACGATTCCCCCTGCCCCGCTCCATCGAAATTTAGGGTTAGGGATTAGGGATTAGGGGTTAGGGTTCCAAGACCCACTAACGCTGCCCCCCCGCCCCCCCCCAAGGCACCCCACCCCCCCCAAAACCCCCCACCCCCCCCCAAGTCCCCCCCCCCACACAGACCTGAACCAAAAACTTCCGACCCCCCGAACCCTACACCCCAAACCCTAGACCCCAAAACTCCCCCAAGCCCCACTCAGGTTCCAATAGGCGGAGCCTGCCGGAAACTGCGCAAACCAGGCCCTGATCTTGTAGGACCTTTTGGGGGTATTAGGGCGGCGTCGGGGAATTTTAGGTTTGGGGCTTAGGGTTTGGGGGTTTTTAGGTCATTCAGGGCTTAGGGTTGGGGGGTTTAGGTTTTAGGTCGTTTTCGGGATTTCTGTTTGGGGTTTGGGGTTTGGTGTTTAGCGAGTTTGGAGTTCAGGGGTTCGGGGTGCTTTTGCGCTTTAGGCATCTTTGAATTTAGGGGTAGGACTGTAGGGCTGGGGGGTTTCACCAACTTAGGTTTCAGGATTGTCGGATTCAGACTTTGGGGTTTGGGCTTTTCCCTGAGGGAGCGCGCTTGGTGAGTTGAAGGGTGCCGTGGATCTAGCCACACCCCACGCCGAATCTCACAGTCACAGCCCTCTCAACCCTAAACCCTCAACCCTCGACCCTCAACTCTAAACCCCAAACCCCAAACCCCAAACCCTAAACCCTAAACCCTAAACCCTAAACCCTAAAACCCTAAAACCCTAAACCCTAAACCGCAAACCCTAAACCCTAAACCCTCAACCCCTTCGACTGCCTCAAACCCCCCAAAAGCCCCCAAAACCAGTTGAACCCAAGGAGGCCTTCACCCTGAAGCCCTGACTTTAGAGGTTTAGGGTTTAGGGTTTAGGGTTTAGGGTTTAGGGTTTGGGGTTTAGGGTTTAGGGTTTAGGGTTTAGGGTTTAGGGTTCAGGGTAAACCCTAAACCCTGAATCCCAACCGAGAGGCGGAGCGGGCTCAATAAGAAGCCCACCCAAACCGTGGAGCGTGTCGTTCCTCGCGCGGTGTGGGGTTTGGGGTTTAGGGTTCAGGGTTCAGGGTTTGGGGCGCTTCTCTCGGGGCGCACACGGGTTCGTGCCTAGATGGGGCATAGGTTGAAATTTTGGGTTTAGACCTTACAGGGATCGTACTGGACTTAGGACTGGCAGGGTTTACATAGCGCTTCGGGTTTGGGGAAGCCTGTCGCCCTTTCCCGCGGGATGCACCGGGGGTGGTTTGGAAGGGCCCGATAACCCTGAACCCATCAGAGTACCGAGCCTCAGCCTCATGTCGAATGTACTTCGGGCCCCAGACCCTAAACCCTAAACCCTAAACCCTAAACCCTATTCCCTTAAACCGCAACTTCACGCACTTCGCTACTCGCCAGCTGCTTGCTTCTCTCTCCTCTTGGGCCAAGGCTGAGCTGGAAACCCTGAACCCAACAAGTTTAAGTGGGTTTAGGGTTTAGGGTTTAGGGTTTAGGGTTTAGGGTTTAGGGTTTAGGGTTTGGGGTTCAGGAATTAGGGGTTGAATCTTGATGCGGGCCGGCGGCAAATTGCAAATCTCCAGGTTCCTCCCGCGATAAGCCTTGGCTAACTGCCTAACACCCTAAACCCTAAAACCCAAACACCAAGTTCTCACGCGCAAACCCTGAAACTCCCCATGAACCTCTAAGCAGGGCTGAAGGACTTCAAGCGTTTTTAGGGTCTGGGTTCAGGCTTGAGCGCTTAACTCCGGCAAAAGAGTAAAACATGTCATGGCCTCACGTCTTGCAGCTCGGGGGGGGGGATATTGCCATGACCGAATTTGTCGAACGGAGATCCGCGAGTCAACCCTGAACCCTGAACCTTAAACCCCAAACCCTGAACCCTAAACCCTGAACCCCAAACCCTGAACCCAAAACACTAAACATCCTAAACCCCAGAACCCCTGAACCTTAAACCCCAAGCCATGAACTTGCGCCCCCAGAAGGCCTAGCGAACCCTGAAGCCCAATCAGACCCTAGAAGCCGGAAAACCTTACAACCGAAGGCCTGGAAAGCCATACCCTCTGAATGGTACGAGTTAAGGGTATATTTAGGGCTCAAGCAGGATCCTCAAACACCTTTTTTTTACTCCTTCCCTCCATCAGACCTGCTTGAAACTTCGGGGGTAGTTTGAACTAGGGATACAGATACTTGCCGTATGTGTGCACCTTTTTTATAGGCATACTTCCAGGCCCAACCTTCTAGATAAACCCTAAGCTCCAGAACCGCAAACCCTACACACACAAACCAACAGTTCCGCTGGGAGGCCGGGGGTTGAGGAAAGGGCCACACTTTGAGGCACATGCTGCCGACCGTCACCTGAGATCTTAGATTCTTGAATATCCGGAGGTTCGGCTTTCGGATACAGGGTTTTGGGTTTCGCGCTTCGTTTGGGCTTTAGGGGGGGGGGGGGGTTTGGGGGGGGGGGATTTCTAGGACTCGGGCATCAGGCCCTGGCCAGACAAAAATATTTCTCCTTAACGCTATGCCCAAACCCTGCACCCTAAAGCACCTGAAAGACACCCGAAGCGATTCCTTTCGAACCTTCCAGGGTTCTCAAGTGTTCCGCTCAAAATCCCCCACAAGAGCTGCCCAACACACCACGGTCCTGCCTCAAGAAGGTTCATTACATATTTGAGAGGAGATTTGGGAGGCCCTTGAACCTTGAAGCCCCTCAAAAATCTCAAGGCGCCCAACTTTTTAACAACCCCCCAAACCTCCCGAAGCCCAATAACCTCCCCCCCCCCCCAGCCTTGTTCTGCTGTGCTTAGGCTTAAAACCCCAAACTCTGAACCCTAAACCCTAAACCCCTAAACCCTAAACGGGTTTCTCCCACGGATCCCCCTGCCTGCTTGGCCGAGAGCTGGTGGTCCGAGTGGATGGAGACGAAGGAGAGAATCTGGCCTGACCCAAGGAACTCACGAATATAGGGGCCTGAATGATTAGAACAGGGTTTTGGGGGGGGTTATTTCAATACAATTACAAAGGGACCATAAGGGAACACGATTAGCAATGTTTCCGACCCCGAGGTTCAGCGTAGGGTTCAGCGCCGGGGCCTCAAGCCTCAAAGCGTCAGCCTCTTTGGGGTTTGGACTGTTTCGAAGGCCTAAGCAGAAATCAAGCCTGAACAGGGCCTATAGGGAATCAAAAAACAAACACCTGGCGCAGACTTGAAGAAGCCGACTCGACTGAAGGCTCGCGGCTTCCAATCCTTTTCCCTCCCTCTCCTACCTCTTCAGCCCGTTGACAAGCTTTGGGGTCTTTGGCTAGGGTTCGGTTTTGGGCTTGGGTCATCATGGCGCCGTACTGCATGGTGGCCCCGCGATCCTGGCAAAAAGCCGTGATTAAAGAAACTGCCATAATCCAGGCCGCCACAAGCAAATCGGCAAAAGAAACTGCCTGCGCTCAGCTCGTCCGTCTTGGCCGAGTCGGCCGCTACATCGCTGAGGTCGATCGCGCGAACGGGCAGGTCTGGCAGCAGGTCTGAAATTTCAAAGATGTGGCAGATCACGAACATAAGGGGCCCCTAATTTTGACCCCAAATAGTAGGATCCCCTTCTTATCAAAAGGACCCCAGAAAAGGTACGCCCTAGTATCGTAAGCCCCATGTCGCATCTGCAGCTTGGGGCATGCTCGTGAAAGCTTTAGCACCTTAGCACCTTGACACCTGCAGGTTGGTCAGCGATGGAACACGAATCGGAATTGTGAATGAGGCCGATGTACCATGGCAGGTTCGGTCGGATGTGTAGCGATGGAGGGTTCTGGTGTTTACGGCAAAAAGGCTGTAGGAGGTGACTAGCATTCAAGGTTCTCGGGCGCTTTAGTGCCATGCGCGCGCACCCCAAGGAATTGGAGAAGTCGTGTTACATTCCACTCGAAACTAAACCCTGAAATCCTAAAACCCTAAAACCCTGAACCTAAAACCCTAAACCCGAAAACCCTAACACCTAAACTGTCCCAAACCCAACCAGGGTCTCAGAAACTGGGTGGAGAAGGAGCGTGAGGCTCGGCTCACACCGCAACACATGCCTTGGGTGGTGGTGTGCACGGGGCATGTGACACACCCAGGTTAAATCCTCCTTAACAAATAAATCCTGAATAAGATCCTCCTTAACCGAACATGATAAAATGTGAAATTATCCCAAGTGCCTACCCAGTAGGCCCTTAAATCCTTGTAAGTCCTAACCCTAAACCCGAAACCCTAAACCCTAAACCCTAAACCCCATGTCCCCCAAAAGTGTTGAGGGTTGCAGGGCTTCGGCTTACAGGCTTGAAGGCCACTCCAGGGCCTTTGACAGCTGCAGGGGCGTAGTGCAGCAGCACCTGTGGGGGAGGCCGAGGGGGCCTCGGGTTTACAAGGGTTCCGGGTTTAGGGTTTAGGGCTTAGGGTTTAGGGAACTACCGAGTGCCGCAAAGCAGGTGCCCTCGAAGCTATGGGATCTTGAAACGCGTGATTTCTGGGCATTCGGAAAGCGCCCAAGAGAACCTGAGTGTCCTAAACTCGTAAGTATCTGGGAAACGGCCTGAAATCGTTTGGGGGCACCCTCTTCTACACTCATTGGCCTCGGGGGTTTAGAAACTTGGGGGGTTTAGGGTTTAGGGTACCCCGAAATTTGGGGGGGTCTAGTATTTAGGGCTCGCTCGTCAAGCAGGCCCTCTCACAAGCATTCACCTTGCTACTGGCATTTGCTTGGGTCTTTTGTCTCGAAAACAAAATAGTACCTATCCCAGTAACCAGCAAACAAGGGTGATCTTTTTCGCATTGGGAGGGTTTATAAAGAATCTTGTAGACCAACTGGGAGATTTAGCAATGGAAAGTGCGGTCCCGGCGCCATGTTGTGGTGCGGGTGCATGAAGAGGCAGGTCGCGTTCACCGTCACGGTCTGGCCAAAGGTCAGCTCCACTTCCACCAGCGGCTGGGGTACCTGCGATTCTCTTGCCAAAACCCCAGAACTTTTCGGGTGCAGGATTCACTTACTGGTTGTGCAGTGAGGAAATAGGTACCCTGGAAAATCCCGTACCTCAGTCCCGACTAGAACCAGTAAGTTTAAAGTTTCAGGGACTGGCGAGGGTAATCTGCAACTGCGAAGCTGTTTTGCTGCAGTTTGATTTCCCATGCGGCTTGGACAATCAGGTTCCATAAGGGGGAGGCAAAGAGCCCAAACCACAAACCCTAAACCCACTGCGGAAGTTGCCTACCAAGTGTCGCAGCACCTAAACCCTAAACCCTAAGTGACTTATATACAGGGTGATATTGTAGGGTGTATAGTGTTTGTATGGCTTATGGGGCATATAGGGGTTCAAGGGTTTATGGCTTATAGAGTTTGTATGGAGTGTATAACGTTTCCAAAACCCCATAGCCCTAAACCCTACACCCTAAACCCTAAACCCCCCAAAGGTCAAGGGCGCTGTGTAGCGGTCCGTGAGTACGAGGCCGGCTGTAGAGTCAATGACCAATCCCACACCGCAGCGGCGGATCACAGTGGACTTGTTCTCCTCGGGGGTTGGAGTTTTGGGTTTAGGGTTTAGGGTTTGGGGTTCAGGGTTTAGGGTTTAGGGGGTAAAGTGTAGGGTTTAGGGTTTATAGGGTTTAGGGTTTTGGGTTTTGGGTTTAGGGCTTAGGGTCTACGGCTTCAGGGTTTAAGGCTTCATCCCCAAACCCTAAACCCTAAACCCCTTACTCAAGGGGATGCTTTCAGTTAGGGGGTAGGGGGGTGCTTCCAAACAAAGTGTCACAGACCCCTAGTCGGGAACGTTAGTAGGATCAAAGCCCGAAGCCCTAAACCCCGAAACCCAAACCCTAAACCTTAAACCACTAAACCCCTAAACCCCGAAACCCAAACCCTAAACCTTAAACCCCGAAGGGGGTGTTTGGGTTTCTTCTTTCGACCTTTCCGCGCGCCTCCTTGCTCTGCAGGAAGTCGGTTGCGTACTCGTGTGAGACTTGTGTCACCTGAGCTTCATCATCTTAAGGACCTTAAGTCCAAGCTGCCAGATGGGTTTAGGGATTAGGTTTTAGTAAGGGTTTAGGGTTTAGGGTGCAAAAAGCAAAAAAAAGGCAGTTTTCTAAATTAGGGTCCCTTTTCAGGGTCCTTCGTTTACCGGTCCCTTTGTAGGGAAACTAATTTAGAGAGTTGCTCAGATGTTTTGTGTGTTGCAGGCTTAGGGCTTGGGTCTTGGGCTTTCGGGGGTTTAAAGGGAGGGGGCTTGTAGAGGCCATAGGGTTTAGGGTGTGTGTTTTCAAAACGAGGCTCTACATAGGGTTGTGTTTCGAAAGTGCTTGTTCCAGGATGGCTTTGAGATTTGTGTTCGGGCTCCAGGGTTACTAGGGTTTTTCGAAGGGGTGTGGGGTTTAGGGTTTTTAGGGTTATAGGGTTATAGGGTTATAGGGTTATAGGGTTATAGGGTTATAGGGTTATAGGGTTATAGGGTCATAGGGTTATAGGGTTATAGGGTTATAGGGTTATAGGGTTATAGGGTTATAGGGTTATAGGGTTTAGGGTTTATAGGGTTTAGGGTTTAGGGTTTAGGCTTTAGGGTTTCTGGTTCTTCAAGGGGCTCTAGGCTCTTAGAAGGGGGCGAGGGGTTTAGGCCCGCGGAACACCCCAAACCTAAACCCTACCCAACCCTAAACCCTAAACCCTAAACCCTAAACCCTAAACCCTAAACCCTAAACCCTACACTCTCCACCTGACGGACGTCGAAGTCGCGATTGTGCACAACATGGGCTGAACCATGGAGATCGCGGCCTTGGAGTGCTTAGGGTTTCGGGTTCAGGGTTTCAGGGTTCAGGTTTCAGGGTTCAGGGTTTAGGGTTTAGGGTTTAGGGTTTAGGGTTTAGGGTTTAGGGTTTAGGGTTTAGGGTTTAGGGTTTAGGGTTTAGGGCTAATCAGGTTCAGGGCCAAGGCTGCAAGTGATTTCTTAAGAGATTGCCAGCAGTTACCTAGGCAGACCCTTCATCTCCCTTTCATGTATGATGCATGGGGCCTGACCTTAGGCCTGTAAATCCGAAGTCCCTAAACCCCTAAAGTCCTAAGCCTATCGGTCTGGGAGGGACCTGGAAAAGGAGAGGGTAACCTTGTTGCTAATTCATGAGGTGTAGAATCGAGCCTAATTCCCTAGCCCCGAAAAGGTGTTCACATGTGAGTGACATCAACTTTGGACTGCCTTAAGGGCGCCAGATGGTCGAGGGCTTAGGGTCTTTGAAGTTGGGGGTGTTGGGGTATCATTAGGGGTGAAGAGCAAAAGAAAGAGAGAGATTGTGAGAGGGAGGCGCAGGGAGGGGCAGAGAGGGGCAGAGAGGGGCAGAGAGGGACAGAGAGAGGGAGAGAGATCTCGGCCGAGCGTCGTCGGAATTCTCTGGGTAGCCAAAAGAATCCTCGTCGCCTCGCACATTGCATTTCCGTTGCAGGGGGCTTCCGGGCTGAGCTGGCATTAGGCTGAGATTTGTGCTGGAATTTTGGGGGACTCTGATCGATGGTTGCTGGCAAGGCTCGACTGACACTTCTAGATCAAGTGACTCCTGGCTTCTGAGCCTAACCCAGTCGTAAACCCAACCTTAATTGGGTATTGCGGGTGAGGGCTTACTGACCAACCCTAAACCCTAAACCCTGATGTCTTAGGATTCAGGGCCTCGGGCTCTAGGCTGCCAAATCCTAAAAGCTGAGCGCTGCACCCAGAGCAGCTGGGCCAACATCGGCGTCCTGCTCCGCCTCGCAGCCCTAAACCCGAAACCCTAAACCCGAAACCCTAAACCCTAAAACCCTAAAACCCTAAACCCTAAACCCACACAGAAGTTCGGGGGTTTAGGGCTCAGGTTTGGGGTCATGCTACAGCTTGCGGCTGCAATATGTTGTTGCTGACTCCTGGCTCACATCCAGACATCCTTTCCCCCTGATCTTCACAACCCCTTTTGAATGGGCCCTACGTTTCCAGGCTCCTACCTGAATCAGATTCCCATAAAGGTGTTGATGTTCTAGGGGGGGGAGGGATTACGCATGATTGAAAGGAAGCCCTGGGCCCAAAGGCCCCCTTGAACCCTAAACCCTAAACCCTAAACGCTAAACCCTAAACCCTAAACCCTAAACCCTAAAACCCTAAACCCTAAACCCTAAACCCTAAACCCTAAACCCTAAACCCTAAACCCTAAACCCTAAACCCCCCCCCCCCCGCCCCCAAACAAAGAATATCCCACGGCCGGGGGGCCGAAGCCCGGCTGCGAGCTTCGGAGGCGGGGCTGCACCTTCCAGAAAGGGAGGTTCGGGATTAGGGTTTAGGGTTTAGGGTTTAGGGTTTAGGGTTTAGGGTTTAGGGTTTTAAGGGTTTTAAGGGTTTAGGGTTTTAAGGTTTTAGGGTTTTAGGGTTTTAGGGTTTTAGGGTTTTAGGGTTTTAGGGTTTTAGGGTTTTAGGTTTTAGGGTTCAGGGTGGAGGGCTTGGGGTTTCTGTTTCTTGGTTATTGTTTTTTTGGAGGGTGGACGTTCCTTTTGGGAAGCCTGAAAGAGGGTTGGGGTCTGTAGGGTTTGTTTCGGGTGCAAAAGGGGCCCAGGGGCTTGGCGTTTAGGGCTCTAGGGTTGGGGCGCGAACGTTCATCGAATCCCCCCTCAAGCTCTCTTAACACTCACAGGGCCGGAGAGCCCTAAACCCTCCTGAGCCCGAAACGCCGTGGCCCTATCTCCCAGGTCCGAAGCCCTAAACTAAACCCTATGGCCCTAAACCCTAAACCCCAAACCCCAAACCCTAAACCCTAAACCCTACACCCTGAGACCTGGGTCCCAAACACGAAGCCCGGAGGCAAGGTTACACTCGTGGTCCGCCTTGGGGTTCCTATTGCAACACAGAGGCCCAGGGTTGAGGGTCTCGAGTTTAGGGTCTAGGGTTTAGGGTTTCGGGTTTGGGGTTTAGGGTTTAGGGTTTAGGGTTTAGGGTTTAGGGTTTAGGGTTTAGGGTTTAGGGTTTAGGGTTTAGGGTTTAGGGTTTAGGGTTTAGGGTTTAGGGTTTAGGGTTTAGGGTTTAGGTTTTCGGCTTTACCGATTCCGGGCGCCAAAGCTCTAAACCCTAAATCCGGTCCCCGGTTTCAACGAGCCCCTTAAAGCCGTACATTTGACATTTGAGGGCTCTTCGAAACGATGGCTCTAGCAGGGTTGCGATTACATTATGGAGCTTCAGGGTTGAGGGTTTTCTTTCCGGCGCCCCAGAACTCGGACTACGATCTAGAGAATTTACAAACTGCACCGTACCCTAACAAAACGCCGCATTTGCTCTCCCAGGCACTCGACTGGCTCAGCAGCCGGCGTAGTAGCCCTGAGAACGTCAATTTGGGGGGGCACAGGTTGTGTTGGTTCTCTGCGATTTCACGTTTAGGGTTCAGGGTTTAGGGCTTAGGTGGGTTTAATACCAGGAAGCAGCTAATAATACAAGGAAACGGCCGACATTTCCAGGGAAACAGCTAATGGTACCCTGGTACCTCGGAATCAACAGGGTAAGGGGCTCACAAAATACCCACGCAGCACTAAACCCTCGAACAGAAGGGACCCAAACCCTAAACCCTAAACCCCCACAACCTTCAGTCAACTCCGCGTCAGGTGAGTGGCCCTCGCTTGTCCTCCGTGACCTCACCGACCCACGACCTGCAAAAGGCTGTTGTCTTGGGGGCTTAGAATTAGGGGTTGAAGGGTTTAGGGTGTAGGGTTTAGGGTTTAGGGTGTAGGGTGTAGGGTTTAGGGTTTAGGGTTTAGGGTTTAGGGTTTAGGGTTTAGGGTTTAGGGTTTAGGGTTTAGGGTTTAGGGTTTAGGGTTTAGGGTTTAGGGTTTAGGGTTTAGGGTTTAGGGTTTAGGGTTTAGGGTTTAGTGTTTCGGGTTTAGGGTTTAGGGTTTAGGGTTTAGGGTTTAGGGTTTAGGGTTTAGGGTTAGGGTTTGGGTTTAGGGTTTAGGGTTTAGGGTTTAGGGTTTAGGGTTTAGGGTTTAGGGTTTAGGGTTTAGGGTTTAGGGTTTAGGGTTGATGGTTTAGGGTTTAGGGTTTAGGGTTTAGGGTTTAGGGTTTAGGGTTTAGGGTTTAGGGTTTAGGGTTTAGGGTTTAGGGTTTAGGGTTTAGGGTTTAGGGTTTAGGGTTTAGGGTTTAGGGTTAGTTTAAGGTTTAGGTTCTCGTTTAGCGGGCAGCATCCCATGAGCTCCCCACCCGCCAAGAAAGAAACACAGGAGCAAACAGATGGGCAAGTTCAACTTGGAAACTTAGACCCCAAACCCCAAACCCCAAACCCCAAAACCCAAACCCTAAACCCTGAACCCCAGTTATCTAAGGGGGGAATCTATGGGGGGGGGGGGGCGGCATAGAGGGGGGTAGTAGGAAAACCCATGACAAAACCCCTAAACGTAAACCCCTCACACCCCCAAACCCCGAATCCGAAACAAACCCTAAACCCTAAACCCTAAACCCTAAACCCTAAACCCTAAACCCTAAACCCCCAATCTAAACCGGGCCTCCTCTTCCACGTGTTCGGGCGCTTCGGGCAGAAGTCCCAGACGCGCGCTGGCCACAGGGTGCGTTCCATACCTTGGCTTCGGGCTCTTGGGGCTTTGAAGCTTGGGCTCGCGGGAACCTAAAGCCCTAAAGCAGCATCTCGGATGAGGCTCACCGTTGTCAGATGGCGATCTCTTTTTTGGGACAAAGCAGCGTCGAATCTGCCTACGCCCGAGATTCAAACTCAGTGCATGCGGGTCAGCTCTTGTAGCGTACCCTGATGTCCTTCGAAAAGTGATTATCCCGGTGCCGCATAATGTCCTTGACCAGTGCCAGCTGCGTAGCCAGATGCTTCTTCGTGCGGCGTCCGTCGAAACACATCTCCACGAAGCTTTCCAGGACGGGATCCAATGCGTGGATCTTGCAGCTGACTTTCACCGGGAAGCTCACCAGACGCTGGTATTGCTTGAGGACGAAGAGCCTGCGGTTGTTGAAGCTGCTGATGCCAGCGCTCGTCTCCACGCAGCTCAGCTGCAGGAAGGGCTCGGAGAGCTTAATCTTTTTTGACAAGAGGCCGTTGAGGAGCTCAAGGAAGCTTTTGCCATCGGTGAACCTATCTCCACAAGAGCTCTGCGTGAAGTTCAGGTCATCGACTGGGACGTGCCGACACGTCGTGCTTGTTGCCAATGCCTGTACCTTGTCCTTCATCGCCGACAGCGGAGCGAAACGCTGCTCAGCCGTGATCTGCGTCTTGGGTGTGAAGAGGACCCTCATGCCGGCTTTCATGGCCTCCGAGGGAAGGGGGCTCGCCACACTCTCCGCGCTCGCCACGTGCGGCGGAGGATACGGCGGCTCCTTGGGTACGAGCGGCGGCCTAGCGTTCGGCGTTCGAGAGGGCGGCGTGGCAGCATGCCTTGGGGAGGCTGAAGGCTTCGCCTGCGAAGGCCGCGGCTTGGCTTTTGGCCTCGGTGGAACAACCCCTGGCCGCGCCTGCGGTCGGGCCTTCGGCTTCGAGGGCATTGGCGCCCTGTAAGCTCCAGCGCTATCCTCCAGGTTCGGCGCGGCTCCTTTGGCCACGGAGTCTGAGCTCTTCTCAGACTTGTTGCGCCGCAAGGAGGTGGCCAGCTGTGCACGTACCCGGTGTACCCGCATGTGCTCGATCTCCTCCGCCTGCTGCTCCTCAACTGTTCTTGTGGAAGCCCTTGAAAATCAGAACGCTTACTATATGGCTTACAACACTAAAGTAAACTCAACTGGTCTTAGACAATATTTCCACATGCGGTCCAGTCTCGTCCGCATCTGAACATTCGACATATTCAAACTCCTCTTCCTCCTTTGCCATCGGGGCATCCTTCTCTGATGTTCGCGCCACCTTCTGCTTCTTGGCATCTTCTTGACTGGAACTGGCCGACACCAGCAGACTGAAGAGCTCCGACAACTGCGAGCCCCCATACTTCTCGAGGACCTCCCGCATGCTAGGCTCGACCTCGCGCTTGCGCTTGGAGGTGGGGCCGGAAGTGAGGCACCGCGCGCGCTTCTGTGCGAAGGCGACGATCTCCCCCAACCGATCATCCTGTGGCTCCTCGCCGCCCACACACGCAGCAGCGCTGAGCGCCACCAGCGCCGCCCGCGTCCGATGCTCCTTTGTGCTGCCGACACCAAGGGCAAGTAGTGGCGAGCCGTCAAGATGCACAGAGACCTGGTGCAGGAAGACCCCTGGCCACGAGGAGGTGTAGCTGCACGCTGCCTGGATGGCGTCCCGCAATCCTTCATACGACTCCTCCACGTCGTCTTGGTGGGTGATGTCCTCCGCAAAGAAAGAGTTTGCCCAGGACCGCGCACAGGCGAAGGAGCTTCTGAAGGGCTCCTCATTGCAGTGTACGATCACAAGCACGTTCTTCGCCCAGAAAATGTGGTGCCCATGCTGCTCCTCGAGTCCGGTTTGCCCATGTTCTTTGCAGCTGTCACTGGTGGCAGCAGACATTGGAGAAGCCCGGCGCTCGAGAGCTGCGCCGCCGCGCGCGGCGCCGGTGCTAGGGCCACTCGGGCCACTCGGGCCGCTCGGGCCACTCGGGCCGCTCGGGCCGCTCGGGCCGCTCGAGCCACTAGGAGCTTCGTCCAGGTGCTCAAGGAAGGACAGAGCCCAGGCCCCGGCTCCCCCTTCCTGAGCGCTTGATGGAGCTGCCGGAGCTGCCGGAGCTGAGCTCAGGATGCTCAGGTGCCCCTCGCCTGCAACCACGCGAGCGACCCCTTCCTGGGGCTGGGCTGGTGGCATCCCCAAAGCTTTCAGCTTCAGCTTGGAGCCGTCATGCTGGCCACACTTGCCCCCATGCAGTAGCTTCCTCTTCCTTTTCCCTTTCACATGAAGCAGGTGGCACTGCTTGCAGCAGTATCCGCCGTATGCTGGATCCTCATGGATCCGGAACTCGCAGTCCCAGTTCGCGCATTGCAGCAAGCGGCGGGTCTCCCGCTTCTTCAGCAGCTTCAACGAAGAAATGAAGTCCTCCAAGTTGAAGTCCTCGGCTGCCCCAGACCGAAGAAGACAAAGAAGACAAAGGCTGCCCGGTCTATAGAGGGAATCCTTGCCCTGATACAAAAAAAGCCAAAGAAGGGGAACTCTTCACAAAAGCCCTATAAACCCTACAGGTCATTCTAAGAATCTTCCTGGCTCATGTGGAGCGAAAGCAGCTCTTGCACCCACGCGCCCTCCTCCCCGATCGCTTCCTGCACGGCCTCCACCACCGCCTCCACCTCCCAGGCTTCCACTTCCCAGAGGGCCATCTCGCGCGGGCTGGGCACGTCGGCACACGACTCCCAAACGCCGCGCTCACGAAAAAGGTCCCCCCGAAGAGGCCACTAAACTCAAAAACTACCCCAAGACCCCACGGCCCAGGTCTTAAGATAAGGGGCCTACTTCAGTTGCTGTGGGCATTCGGGTCCCTGAGCCCTGAGCCCTAAACCCCAGTATACGGGGGATGATGAAGTGCCCATGATGTTGGTCAAGACGGCTCGTGTGTGACTTGAAGTCGGGTGGCCAGCGATGGGTTTGTTGGGGTTGGTAGGGTTTTGAAACCGGGGCCTTTGAGGGGTCTCTAAGCCCAGCTTCGGAACCCTAAATGGGTAAAGGGGTTTAGGGTTTAAAGAAGGGGAGGCAGCTAGGGAACCTTCAGGGCAGAGACTTACTTGAAGGTCCATAGGGGCGGGGATCAGTAGGGCTCCACGATTTTCTCGAAGCGGTTCATTTCATACTCTGTGAGACCTCAGATATAGCAACCCTATGTCCTACTTTGTCTTCATCCTTAAGACTCCAAGTAAGGAGTACCCTAATCCCTAAACCCTAAACCCTAAACCCTAAACCCTAAACAAGGGAATGTTGGGGAAACAAAGGTGACCCCCCGGACCGGCCGCAAGCTGCCATCCAACCCCGAACCACAGTGGCTCATGGGGGTTTATGGGGTTCGGAGTGGGCTTTAAAAGGGTTTATAGGGCTTACAGGGTTGGGGTTGCAGGGGTTTGCAGATTTCATGGGGCTGTTAGGGTGTGCAGGGCTTGTGGTTCCCTAAGTCTACCACTGGACCCGAATCTTCGACTCCCTCGCGGTGAGTTTTCTTGGGTATAAATGTAGCTTTTTGGGCTTTAAGGCGGGGGAGGGGTATGCTACGAAAGGCTATAGGTAAGACGGGCTACCCTGCCACCCTACATGCTCAAAAACAAGTCGGAGGGGCGGATCATGGAGCACTTCTGCCGGTGCTCGTTGGCCGAAGGGTTGAACCAGCGCACCTCGAACATCTCCTGGCTAAGTGTTAGTTTTGGGTTTAGGATTAGGCTTTACGGTTTTAGGGTTGAGGAGTTTCCTCCGTGGCCCTTCCCTGGCCATCACATTGGCGGGATCCTGGCTTTCTTTTCATGTAGGACAACCCACGGCTTAACCCTTACCCTAAATCAAAAACCCTGATGCGTGTGGGATACCAGAGAATCCATAGGCGAGTATCATCCTGTGTCCCTGCATAGACTGGGCAGTCCGGATTGATATTTTGCCGGGATTCTCATGGGACATGCTGATAACAAATCAGGTTCCGTGGTACCCTTCCCCTCTTTAAAGGGCGAAGCGGTTACTTGACAGGTGTGCCCAAAGCCTAAACCCCTAAGCCTTAAACCCAAAAAGCTGATCTCGGCCCACCTCGACACTAAAGCCCCCCGTTTGAAAGGAAGGGCTTCTTTCTGTTTCAAGGTTTAGGGCTTAGGGTTGAGGGCACAGGAAACAACTCACCCGTAGGCAACGCCGAACTACACCCAAAACCCGAAACCCCAAACCTCCCCAAGTCCTTGTTCGGAATCCCCGCCAGGGCAGTCTCGAAGTCGTTCAAGCTCGTCACTCTCCTCGCCAACTGTTGGGGGAAGCACCAGAGGCCGGGGATGAGGCTTGGGGTTTAGGAGTTGGGGTTGAGGGTTAGTGTTTAAGGTTTAGAGTGGAGGGATAAGTTACCCTCAGTTCAAACTCCTCCAGCCCGAAACCCCAAAACCCACCAAAAAGCCCGAGACCCCCAAAGCCCCTGCAAACCCCAAGAGTCCAGAGCTCCAAACCCCAACTCCCAAACCTTACATGCTGAATCTCTAACTTCATAACCCCAAACGCCAAAGCCGCAACCAAAACAATAATGGCCAACTGGAAGCCTCTTTTTGCAAGGGGGAAAAGATGCCCCTCTCACCCCTCTGAAACTCCGCTGATAGAAGCAAGAGCTTAGGGCAAGAGGGTTTGGGGGGCTGAAAAGCCCCCCCCCCCGCCCCCCCCGCCCCTGTTAACGCTAGACAACTAAACCCTTGCTAGGGTTTAGGGCTTCTAGCCGGGTGCGGCCACGGGCACTTGCCCGCCACCGAGGTGATGACGGCCGAAACCGGAATCTGAAGGCCGAAACCTCGGCTCGCAGCCCTTGGAAGGAACTTCCAAAGCCCCCTCGAAATTGAGGAGTCCGAGTCTATTCAGTTTTAGGGTTTAGGGTTTAGGGTTCAGGGTTCAGGGTTCAGGGTTCAGGGTTTAGGGTTTAGGGCTAGGCATTCCTGTAATTCAGTTAAGGGTCCCTCCATGACTGAGGAGAGATTCCCACATCAAAGGCTGTTGGAAGCTCTGGGAACATTGGGGGCCTGTGGGCACTAGGCCTTCAGGGTTGAGAGCTTAGGGTTTAGGGGCTAGGGTTTAGGGTATCTGGCCTTGATGCTCCCCCCCCCCCCAACTTGAGGGCTCAGGCTGTGCAATTTCGGATTCAAGGTTTAGCAGTTCAGGATTCAAGGCCTAGGGTGCAAGGCTTAGGGTGCAGGGTTTGGGCTTCAGGGTTTCTAGGGTTGCAGCGGTTGTGGAGCCAACAGCGCCTGAGCTCCCCCATCCTGTCGCCAAACCTGAGAGCCTTATGGCCCAAAAGTGTGGAAGTTTTCTTTCTCATTTCCCAAGACAAGGACTTAGGGTCCAGGATCTAGGTTTGGGGGGTGTGTAGGGTTTAGGCTACCCATAACTGTTAAAGTCACACATGAGGAGCGAAAGGAGCGAAAGCTCATGATGCTCGGAGATTTGCCTACAGATTTTTCTGCAGGCATGCTGCTAAAGCCGCTCTGGGCCACGTAGATTCCCCGGTCCGAGATGGGAATGTTGTATGTCTTGCAGGTGTGGTAGGACAAGACATGGAAGACGCCTCGGCTGAGTACAAGGATGCGCCTCATATCGCCTCAGATACCCCTCAAGAGTTTAGGTAGGGTATCTCATTCACTGGTTCCCTGCTAGGGGCCGGTGGGACATGCCTCGGTTGAACTCCTTCCTGTCCAACCCTCTACGCTTTTTAGCTCACTCCCGGATTGAAGATTGGGGGTATAAACCGGGTGGGAGCTCCACCTATTCCTGGCTTGGGGGGGTTTCCGTAGACCCTCAACCCCGAATCCCTGGTAGGTCTGAGGCTTTGGGGCTCTGAAGTTTTCAGGTTTTAGGGTATTGGGGCTTTCAGGCATTTGGGGTTCGAGGGCTTTGGGCTGTGTACGGTTTCGGGGTTTGGGGTTGGGGTTATCTCGGGTCCGCGGGTTAGGGGAGGAGGCTCCAGGTGTTCATCCTCAGCGCCCAATACTTTCGAGAAGGTCCTCGGCCAGGGAGCCACCACCGCATTCCACAAAGTCGTGGGAGATCCTGAGCTGGCATCATGTAGGGGCCTGAATTAGAATGGGGCTTTGGGTGCTTCCAGAAGGGAATACGATTTAGATGATTAGTAACTATGATTAGTAAATTATTGCGACCTCTATATTACCTCAAACTTTAGGCTAACCCGAAACCCTAACCCCCTAAGCGGGTCTATGGTTCAGAGTTCATGAAAACCCAAATCCCGGCCGGCATGAAGGAACCCCAAACCCTAAAACCTGAACCCGTAAACCCTAAACCCTAAACCCTAAACCCTAAACCCTAAACCCTAAACCCTAAACCCTAAACCCTAAACCCTAAACCCTAAACCCTAAACCCTGACCAGACGCAGCTTGTGGAAGTCCACCACCCGGAGGCCGATGTTGAGGATGTCCCCGGCGCGGGAGATCTTGATCAGCACCTCCTGAGAGGTTTAGGGTTTAGGGTTTAGGGTTTAGGGTTTAGGGTTTAGGGTTTAGGGTTTAGGGTTTAGGGTTTAGGGTTTAGGGTAAAGGGTTTAGGGTTTAGGGTTTAGGGTTTAGGGTTTGGGTTAAGGGGGAACAGACCTCTAAGGGGTCCTTGTCCACCTCCGAGTCCAGCTGATCCTCCAAAGTCCTTTGGGCGCGCTGGGCTTTGGGTTAGCAGTAGGGTTTAGGGCTTAGGGGCTTAGGGGCTTAGGGGCTTAGGGTTTAGGGTTTAGGGTTTAGGGTTTAGGGTTTAGGGTTTAGGGTTTAGGGTTTAGGGTTTAGGGTTTAGGGTTTAGGGTTTAGGGTGTAGGGTGTAGGGTAGGGTAGGGTTTAGGGTTTAGGGTTTAGGGTTTAGGGTTTGGGGTTTAGGCCTGGACTTGGGAGGTTTGGGGATGGGAGCCGAGCCCTGAACCCTAAAGGAGTTTGGGTTTGCCGCAGGACTCCTGGGATTGTAGGTAGAGACCGCAGGTGGTCAGAGGAGACCACCAAAGAAACAGTGCCACCCGCATGCAAGAGGGAGCCCTGTGAGCTACATTTCCTAGACGTTTGGGGGTCCGGTTTATAGAGCCTAGGCCCTAAACCCTAGACTGGTAAGCACTAACAAACCTCAACCCCTCAACCTCAAACCCAATGAAAACAACAAAGCCCTAAAGTTCTCAAGCTATGCCGGGTGGCACGAAGTTCAGGCACGGCCGACCAGCGATCTCCAACAGCACGTCCCCTGGTTTCAATTTCCTTCGCATGCCGGAAGATCCCACAAACTTAGGGAGATTTTAGGGTTCAGGGTTTAGGCTTCAGGGATTGAGGGAGAGCTCCAGGGTTTTTGGAGCCTTGGGGTTCCTAGAACTGCACACGAAAAACTTGAAAATATAAAAATCCCCTATATCACAGTCCCTGTGAGCAGAACCCTCAACATCTTTTGAGGAGGCTAACCCTCAACCCCAAACCCCAAACTTGCGCCGTTGCTGGGCATTCGAGTCTAGAGGTCCAGCGGCCTCCAAGCCTCTGGGCCGCCGGAAACTTCGTGGTTTTCGGTTTCAGGGTTTGCTTCCAAACAGAACGCACACACGGACACTAATTAAAACACAAAAAACGTTTGTGTACACACATTATATATATATATATATACCTGCACATATGTATATGTATACTGCAGTAGTACACGTGCCTAAATAAACACAGTAGAAATGGTAGTAACAACAATAAGTACGGGCACTACCCAGGGTCCCAGGGGTCGACCTTTTTGTCAGCGGCACGTGCGGGCGATGCCCCCCCCAGATTTCTTTGGCGCCTGAAGTGGCTCAGGGCCTCTTCCGAGACTTTGGGGGGGAGGATCCAGCAAGTAGAGCCCCGATTTAGGGTTTAAGGTTTAGGGTTCCCAAACCCTAAACCCTAAACCCAAAAAGGCACCTCAAGTGGGATCTACTTTCTAGATCTTCCCACGCGCTCCCGGTTGGACATCGCGAGGCATCGCTGTAGGCAGCCGATGCAAGGCAACAACTCCGCCTCACAACAGTCCTTTCTGTAGGGTTTAGGGTTTAGGGTTTAGGGTTAGGGCTTTTAGGGCTGATTTGCAGGGTTTGGGCTTTTAGGGTATTTAGGGTTATGGGTTTAGGGTTGTAGGGTACATAGGGCTTATCTACAGGGTTTAGGGTTTTAGGGTTTCCTTCTTGATCCTAAGTTGACAAAGGGAATCAAGAGTCCACTGGACATTTCTAGCAAGCGATACCTGCGGCGGCTCTAATCTTAACTATTCCCAGGGAGGGTCCCCGCAAGCCTGACAAACGCACGCCTCACCAGCGCCGACATGTGCAACATTTACGGCTGTACGTAGACGCGGCCATTTCCGGGTAGCTTCACAGAGCAGGGCCCCTTTTATGGTTGTCCGTATTTCTCGCACGGCACCCTGAGGCCCCTCTGCTGCGAAAGCTACTGCACCCACAATAAGACTGGTTCAGGATTCAGGGTTTAAGGTTTAGGGTTTAGGGTTTAGGGTTTAGGGTTTAGGGTTTAGGGTTTAGGGTTCAGGATTTAGGGTCTAGGATGGGGTTCGGGTTCGCCCGAGGCATATGTTTCTTGTGGGTGCAAGTGGAAACGCCATGGATGGGTCTACTCCAAGCAAGTGGCCATTGGTCAAAGAAAGATGCTACCTTCTAGCGGGCCCCACCTACTCGAGTGAAGGGGCAAACCCTGAACCTCTAGGTTGCGGGAGTTAGGCTGTAGGTGTTAAAGTTAAGGCCTTGCACATTAGGCGCAACTTCCACCCCTCACCCCCCCCCCCAAAAAAACACTAATAAGCAAGTCAATAAATACAAAAAAGACATATATATATAATAGAAATACACAATATTCAATAAACTACTAAACCCAGAACTGTAACAGAACCCATAACAAGCAGCCTAAACCCGAAGCCTTTAGCTCAAAGCACCCAAGGTCCTCACTGAAACCAGAAACTTACTGCACACACCCCAAACTTGACATGAAGGTATACTAGCATAGGCACCATACCATGGGCCCTGTATACCCTCTACAATAAAAACCTAAGCCCTTAGCCCTAAACCCCAAACCCTGTTGACTCCCTTCGGCCCCTGAACGGTGGGTTAGACAAAGCTGACTCAGATTCTGCGGCCCCGCTCTCAGTACCATCGCCGATAGCGGGCCCATTTCCTTGGTGCCCCAGCGGCCGAGGAAAAAAAATAAGTGGGCAGCTGTTGCTTGCTGAAGCTTGGGAAGAGTCCGAAACCCGGAACTCCGGAACCCCAAGAACCCAACCCCAAACCCGCAGCACCACCAAAACCCGAAAACCCAACACCCGAAACCCTAAACCCTAACCCCCAACCTAAACCCAGAACCCTAAAACCCGAACGCCCTCAACCCGAGATTCTGCTGGCCCCACAGAGGCGGCGTTTGCCCCGGGCGCTTGCTTCCACGGGGGCTCTCTGGTGGAGCGCGACATGACCAGCTCCTCAAGGGTTTCGGGTTTAGGGTTTGCGGTTTGGGGTTTAGGGATTGGAGTCTGAAAGTATATAACTATAAAATTGCTAAGACTACTACTACTACTACTACTACTACTACTACTACTACTACTACTACTACTGCTGCTGCTACTACTACTACCACTACTACTACTACTAGTACTAGTACTAGTACTAGTACTAGTACTAGTACTAGTACTAGTACTACTACTACTACTACTACTACTACTACTACTACTACTACTACTACTACTACTACTACTACTACTACTACTACTACTACTACTACTACTACTACTACTATACTACTACTACTACTACTACTACTACTACTACTACTACTACTACTACTACTACTACTACTACTACTACTACTACTACTACTACTACTACTACTACTACTACTACTACTACTACTACTACTACTACTCCTACTCCTACTACTACTACTACTACTACTACTACTACTACTACTACTACTACTACTACTACTACTACTACTACTACTACTACTACTACTACTACTACTACTACTACTACTACTACTACTACTACTACTACTACTACTACTAGGGTTGCGCGCCTCAGGGCGCCTGGTGCTTTGGGGTGTGTGAGGTGCTGGAAAGCATGGTTTTTGCGATGTATTTGGACATGTGTGTAAAAAGTCTCACAACGCGAAGATCGCTCTAACTAATTTTAAGCCCGAAATCGAAGCCCGAAACGCGAAACCCGACAAAAAACCCTCAACTCTAAACCCTAAACCGTAAAACCTAGGTCAAAGGACTTTTTGGGCTTGCACTTGAGGGTTTGGGGTTGAGGCTGTACTTTGGGCTTGTTCTATGGGGTTTGGGGATTAGGGTGTAAGGTCAAAGGACTTTTGGGCTTGCACTTGAGGGTTTGGGGTTGAGGCTGTACTTTTGGGCTTTTTCTATGGGGTTTGGGGTTTAGGGTGTAAGGTCAAAGGACTTTTGGGCTTGCACTTGAGGGTTTGGGGTTGAGGCTGTACTTTTGGGCTTTTTCTATGGGGTTTGGGGTTTAGGGTGTAAGGTCAAAGGACTTTTGGGCTTTTTCTATGGGGTTTGGGGTTTAGGGTGCAAGGTCAAAGGACTTTTGGGTTTTTTCCATGGGGTTTGGGGTTTAGGGTGTAAGGTCAAAGGACTTATGGGCTTGCACTTGAGGGTTTTTCCTCACGCAGTCTTGTCTGAAACACTCGCAAGAGTATTGCCACCTACAAGGATGGACTGTTTCATTGGCAGCGGCACGAGAGACATCATGGCTCAGTCAGGGAAATTCACGGGCCCGGACGTACCCAACCCCCCCCCCCCTCCCCCTCCCCCCCCCCCCCCCCCCCCCCCCCCCCCCTTTCCCCGCCCCCCCAGCGGCAGGAAAAGACCAGGCGCCAGGAAGCGCGCATGGCTACTACTACTACTACTACTACTACTACTACTACTACTACTACTACTACTACTACTACTACTACTGCTAATACTACTGCTACTGCTACTACTACTGCTACTGCTACTGCGACTGCTACTGCTACTGCGACTGCGACTGCTACTGCTACTGCTACTGCTACTGCTACTGCTGCTGCTGCTACTACTACTACGACGACTACTAAAACGACGACTACTACTACGAAAACGACGACGACGACCGACGACGACCGACGACCGACGACCGACGACCGACGACCGACGACCGACGACCGACGACCGACGACCGACGACCGACGACGGACGACCACTAGTACTGCTATTAATAATAATAATAATAATCATAATCAAAATCATAATACAGTTTAATATACTGAAAATAATAAGAAGAAGAATAGGAATAACAAGCAAATAATAATCAAAATCATAACAAAAATAATCACCGTAATCATCATAATAACTATAATCACAAAAAACATAATCATGACAAGAATGAAAAATAGTGTTTGTTTCGCTCCCGGATTTAATACTAAGATGACCGCGGCCAAAGGAGCAGGCGCTTGGGAGCAGCCCAGAGGGCCGACCGCAGCTTCGACCAGAGAATTCGCTCCTGGGCTTCGCGGGCTTTGTGGCAGAGGACGTTTAGGGTTTAGGGTTTAGGGTGTAGGGTGTAGGGTGTAGGGTTTAGGGTTTGGGGTTTAGGGTTTAGGGTTTAGGGCTTGCTGTGATAGGGCGTAGATGCTGTGAAGTTTAGGTTTTGGAACAAGCTCGATAGCTTCGTGAGGCGCGAAGAGCAGCTTTGGCCCGATTGTGGAAGGCCATCTAACATTTTTCTCCCACCCCACGTCGTCCGAGGCGGCAAAGCCACCCAAACCTAGTCCCCTTAGGGCTTAAGCCTAAACTCAAGCCAACTGCCTACTTTCCATAAAACTTCTTCATTCCGTCACGGTGATCCTGGGCAACCAGCACAAAGGCGGAGTGCAAGGAAGGCGGGCCCTTGAAACAAAGCGGGGCTCAGGGATGGGGCCCTGGGGGTACCCCCTGAAAAGGCCAGCGCCCCCCAGCATCATGTTGAGGGTGTAGGGTACTAGGTTGAGGGTTTAGGGTACTTACTTTTTTCTCAGGGACAGCACTGGTCCCGAGGAGAGCGTGTTCCGGTAGCGGGCCCATCGCGGGCGCTGCCGACCCCCATGCTGTGGGAGGCGGGCGAGCGACCTGGGTCGGCTGGCGCCATCGAGGTCGAACGTAGGGGGGCGGCCTAGGCCCTGAGTTTAGGGTTTAGGGCTTCGAGCTATTCAAGATTCTGGGTGTTGCTGTTCAGGTTTAGGGCTCGGGTGTTTTGAGGCTGCTGGGCGGTTGTTTAGGGCTTGTAAGTCGTGGGGTTGACGTTGTGTTGGGTGGAGTTTGGAGTTCAAAACTCAAGCTTTGGGGATGGCTTTAGAGGCCACCAGGGTTTAGGATTTATATGCTTTAGGGTTCAGAGCGTTGGTCGTTGGGGCTCGCTTTTGTGCAGCATGGGAACTGAAAAGCCCTCTCAACCTGCTGGCATAGGGCTGCAGGGATGTGGGTCTAACATCCTCAAATCCTAAACCCTAAACCCTAAACCCTAAACCCTGAACCCTAAACCTTAAACCCTGAAACCCTAGACCCTGTAGACCACAAAAAAAGGCACACTTGCTTGGCAGCCCCGGTCTCGGAGCTGTTCCTCCTCGGATGCACGATTACGCGGGCTCGAAGGATGCGGGGCTTCTTGGGGGCCCCGACTTGACCCGAAACCCTCTTTGCGCCCTAAACCCTAAACCCTAAACCCTAAACCCTAAACCCTAAACCCTAAACCCTAAACCCTCAAGAAACCCCTTCTTTGACGACCTAAAGGGGTGACAGAGGCAGGGTCCCTCCAGCGGGGCTGGCTTAGACTACGGGCCCTTTAGGGTTTAGCGTTTACGGGAATGACGCCCAAACGGGCTGTCAGGATTTTCCCAGAAACCCTCTAAGACATATTTACTCCTCATAGCCAGTGAGGGGAACACATGAACTGGCCCCCAAGGTCCTACCAAGCGTAGTGACTGAAGCCTACAAGCACACCCCCCGAGCCCTGGAGAAGCTCTGACAGCCTGAGCCCCAACCCTAAACCCTAAACCCTAAACTCTAAACCCTAACCCCTAATCCTAACCGATTTAGGGTTTTTTAAGTGTTCTTTAGGAGCAGTGCAAACAAAGGCCTCAAAAAGTTGAGAGTTCACGTGCGATGTAACATCTGAGCTTCAGCAGGCTGGCATAGTAGTAGTCATGCCCGCTGGAGGAGTACCTTGGCCCACGTGTGGGGGACTGATCTGAATTCAAGGGGCCCTTTCTGTTTCATACGGCGTCGGTTACAAAGAACTTGCCCTAAACCCTAAACCCTAAACCCTAAACCCTAAACCCCAAACCCTAAACCCTAAACTGCAGCGAATGTAGAACAATCCCCATGAGGCATGCCCCGACAGCCCTGAACCTAAAACCCCCGAAGCGCTCGATCCCATGGAAGCCCTCACCTACCTCCGCTCCCTTCGCCCCGCCACTCGGCGTCCTCGAGACAGAGCTTTAGTGATGTAGGGATGTTGGGTTTAGGGCTTAGGCTCTATACCCTAAACCCTAAACCCTAAACCCTAAACCCTCAACCCTAAACCCTAAACCCTCAACCCTAACCCCCCAAACCGAGTCCAAGAGTTGAAGCTTCAAGCGCAACCCCAGATGCGGCAGGTCGGTGTTTGCCAAGCTATCTGGCAAGGTGATCATGTCGGCGAAGTGCTTCGTGAAGCCCTGGCAGGAGTGGGGAACTTCTAGCCCCGGCCCTTAGGGTTTAGGGCTTAGGGTTTAGGGTTTAGGGTTTAGGGTTGAGGGTTGAGGGTTGAGGGTTGAGGGTCTAGGCTCTAGAGTCTAGGGTTTAGGGTTCAGGGTACAGCCACAGACAAAAACAGGGAAAATTCCCAAAGTCGAGCAAAGCCTCAGACAAGCGCCAAGCAATCGCACGTTGCTGAGGGAAGATGCCGGAACTCTAAGGGGGCCGAGTTGTAGGAGGGCTTAGCAGGCAGGGCTTAGGTTTGTAAGGTTTAGGGTTTGGGGAGCTCAGGGCGGTTTAGGATGGTTTGCTGCTGGGAGCCCTCGTTCGAAGCAGGGCCGACCCCGCCTCGTCCCTGGCTTGCTTCTTGATGGCCCAGATGATCGTACAGTCATCGTGGTAGCTCGACAGGCTGTCGCACCACGCGTGCACAGCTAAGACCACGGGCACTTTGGCCATGCGGGTCACATAGCGCCCAACGAAGTCGCGAAAAATCCGCCCACTTTGGGGCTGCGGGGCACGGAAACGCTCGTGTTGAGGGTCCTCCGTGCCGAGGCCGTACCCGGCCAGGGACACAATGGCGTCGAAGACCTGTGGGGCGTGAGGGTGGCTGCACAAAGCAAGGAGGAGGTTTGTGTTCGCCAGACATACCTGGAAGCCTCCCTCCTCTCTCCAAGAACTACAGCTCTTCTCAGATCTGTAGATGCAAGCAGCAACCAGAATCCCTAAACCCTTAACCGTACAAAGCCCGCGTGCCTCTGGGGCCCAACTGGCGACCTGCGGCAGTTCAGAGTGCTGAGGGCGAAGGCGTAGCTGGAGTACTCTACATAGAGCCCCAAGAAAACGGCGAAAATGCTGGCGTACTATTGGCATACTAACCCTAAACCCTAAGCCCTAGTCTCTAGACGCTTAGGGTTTAAAGCTTCGCGTAGGGTTTTGGGTTTCCCAAGCGAAAGCCATCCGAGTGGCATTTCGGGTCAGGGCGCAACAATGTCCACTTCGGTAGGGCTTCAGAACAGGCCACCCGTACTTTCCCCAGTCTCACTGCGCGAAGACTGCTGATCTTTCAAAGGCCCCCTTTTGTCATCGAAGAAATGAGCCCATGCAGGGCACGTCCTCCTTCGTGCTAGAGGTGAGGATTAAAAGAAAGCGTGTCGGGGGTTGGGGCTTGGGGGGCTTATGAGGTCTTGGGACACAGTCGGACACAGGCAGCTTCGAAGTACCTAGAAGGGGGGCCCTAGGAGCCACTAAACCCTGAACCCTGAACCTAAAGCCTGAACCCTAAACTTCCCAAGCCCCACGGGCCTGGTAGGCGCCGAAGCCGCCCATGGAGTAGCCAAAGGCAAGCACTCGGTCGGCCTGCAGAAGCAGCGTTTTCGGGTTCAGGGGTTTTAGGGTTTTAGTGTGCAGGTGTTTAGGGTTTAGGGTTTCAGTGTGTAGGCGTTTAGGGCTTAGGTGTGTAGATGTTTAGGGCCTAGGTGCTAGTCAACCTTACGCAGTAGCTGAGCCGCGACCGAACCTCTTAGAAACATCTAAAGCGTCCAAAGCACTGCACCAGCATAGCTTATTGCGGCTGAGAGGTTTTAACGTCGTTTCGACATAAAACCCTGTAACCTTAAACCCTCTGCCCAATTGTGCCCACAAGCACACGCAAAAACCAAAAACCGAAATCTGAAAGAGAACTTCGGCAAAGACCTCCTGGACCCAAAAAAGATCAAAGATAACATGCTCACGACGCTAAACCCTAAACCCTGAACCCTAAACCCTAAACCCTAAACCCTAAACCCTGAACCCTAAACCCTAAACCCTAAACCCTAAACCCTAAACCCTACACTCTCCACCTGACACCCTAGCCTGGAAGCGTGCGGAGAGGCCGCGAATGCTCTCGGCAAAGGCGGTCAAGAACCCGGAGTGGAGGTGGCCCCAGATCTGAGGCTGTTTGGCGATTTAGGGGGGTTCAAGGTGGGGTTTTGGGGTTTAGGGTTTAGGGTTTAGGGTTTAGGGTTTAGGGTTTAGTCGTACATCTTGCCATGCCTCACACAGATACCAGCAAATCACATGCAACAACAACCCTAAAACCCCTAAAACCCTCAAAGCCCCTAGGCCCCTGAAGCCCCCCCGAAAGCCCCGAAAACCCCAAAAGCCCCTGAAAACCCCTACAGCCTCTAGAACCCCCTCAAGCCCCCAGAACCCTTCTAAAGCCCCTGGAAGCACCTAGAACCCCCAAGCCCCTAAACCCTAAACCGGCCCCCCCAATTCTCTTCTTCGTGCCGCCCCGCTGCGAAGCCCTGGTCAACCCGGGCTTTCTGATTGTCCTCCTTCGGGGGTTGGGTTGGGGCTGAGGGGATTCAGGGGGTTTAAGGGGTTCAAGGGGTTTAAGGGGATTAAGGAGTTGAAGGGGTTCACTAGATTTCGTCCGAGCGGTTTCGGGCTGTTCGTGAATTTGGCGGGGTTTCTTCGAAGCGGGCTCCTAAGAACGGACACCATCAAGCGCATAGGGCTTTCAGGGCTTTCAGGGCTTTCAGGGCTTTCAGGGCTTTCAGGGCTTTCGGGGCTTTCGGGGCTTTCGGGGCTTTCAGGGCTTAGGGGTTTAGTAGCGGAGGGCTCAGGGGGCTTCGTAGCTTAGGGACTGGGGGCAAGCCCTAAACCCTAAACCCTAAACCCTAAACCCTAAACCGCAAGAAGAGCCGAAAGGAGGGCCTTCTTGTGGCAGCAGCCCCATTGAAACTCCCATCCGTTGGATGTGCGCGGGCTCTTCGGACTCTTTGGGACCATCCAGATGGTCCTCCAGGGCCGCGGGGCGGTTTAGGGTGTAGGGTTTAGGATTTAGGGTTCAGGGTTGTAGGGTTTAGGGTTTAGGGTTTAGGGTTTAGGGTTTAGGGTTTAGGGTTTAGGGTTTAGGGTTTAGGGTTTAGGGTTTAGGGTTTAGGGTTTAGGGTTTAGGGTTTAGGCGTTTAGGGTTTAGGGTTTAGGGTTTAGGGTTTGGGAGGTTTAGGGTTTAGGGTTTAGGGTTTAGGGTTTAGGGTTTAGGGTTTAGGGTTTAGGGTTTAGGGTTTAGGGTTTAGGGTTTAGGGTTTAGGGTTTATTGTTTAGGGTTTAGGGTTTAGGGTTTAGGGCCCATACACAGAAGCTACTTGTCCAGCCTCCTAAGGGAACCAAAGGTGAGGTTAAGCTTCCCCGAACTTCCAAAAATCCGTCTTGATGACACAAATTGATATCCCCCAAAACATAGTCGGATCATTCATAATGTTGATGTACAGGTTCATCAGAAAATTTAGGCCGTTCTGAGTTTGGGATTGCGCGCTGACATGACACGAGCCCAAGGCTAAAGGCTACCTTCTCGACTTTTAAGTGCGGGCTTCAGTCTTTAGGGGGCTCTAGGAGTTTAGGGGTGTTGGGGGGTTAAGGGATTTTGGGGATGAGGGTTTAGGATCTAGGGCTGAGGGAACCCTAAACCCTGAACCCTCAACCCCAAACCCTAAACACTACGCGGTGCAAGGGCGGGGTAGGACAGCTCTCCTTCTGCCCATGCGCCACTGCATTGTCTGCAGGTCTTGCTTGGAGATGCTCCCCCAATCACCCCCATGGAGCCAAACCTTGGGGTTTAGGGTTTAGGTTTAGGGTTTAGGGTTTAGGGTTGAGGGTTTAGGGTTTAGGGTTTAGGGTTTAGGGTTGAGGGTTTAGGGTTTAGGGTTGAGGGTTTAGGGTTTAGGGTTGAGGGTTGAGGGTTGAGGGTCCACGAAGCCCAAAACCCTAAATCCTTAAGGGTTCAGATCTTGGGGCTTCGTAAAAAAAAAAAACAAAAGCAAAACATATTTACAGCCTAAACAAAAATCCACATTGGCATTTCTCATAGACGAAAAAGTAATAGGGGAGGATACTGCCCTGAAGTCCATGTTGGCATTCTTTTTTAAACGAAGAAGGAATAGGGGCCTATAAAGCTTATAAGGAGTAATAGGGGCCTCTAAAGCCCATAAGGAGTAATAGGGGCCCTATAAAGCCTATAAGGAGTAATAGGGGCCTATAAAGCCCATAAGGAGTAATAGGGGCCTCTAGAGCCCATAAGGAGTAATAGGGGCCTCTAAAGCCTCTAGGGATGCTACAGCCGTCGCGGGGCGGCCAAGTAGGGCGCTTCGTGCTCGAAGCCCTCGGTGACGGCTTCCAGGAGCTTGTACCGGCACTCGCCGAACCCGTAGCCTGCTTAGGGCTTAGGGCCTATAGAGTTTGTAGGGTTTGTAGGGATTTTGTAGCGTTCTAGGGATTTTGTAGGGTTTGTAGGACTTGTCGGGTTTGCAGGGTTCATAGGGTTTTAGGGTCCAGGATGCCGCTATGTTATAAACAGCCCCGGCACCCCAAACCGTCAGCCGCAAGGACTACGAAGCGGGTAAAGGCTTCTGCCCTACAGCCAGAAACCCTAAACCCCTCAACCTCTTTGAGCATGGGCTGCTAGGGTGTGGGGGCGGGGGGGGGGGGGGGGGGGGGGGGGGGGGGCTTTGGATACCTATAACCTCTGCGAGCCCTTACCCTCAACCCTCAACCCTAAACCCTAGGAGGGCTCCTGGAAGTCGTATAGTCTGCGCAGGAGCGTTGCTTGAAAGGGCTGGACAGCTTGGTTTAGGGTTTAGGCTTTAGGGTTCAGGGTTTAGGGTTTACGATTTCCAGGGTTTCAGGGTTGTGGGTTTACGGTTCAGGGTGCAGAGTTTAGGGTTTCAGGGGTTTCAGGGGTTTCAGGGGTTTCAGGGGTTTCAGGGGTTTCAGGGGTTTCAGGGCTTGCCCATAGGCTCCATTGCAACAAATGGGGGGGGGGGGGGGCGCGCCTTTGAAAAGCTCCTCTCCCAGGTCGTAAATCATGGCCGGCCGATCCGGAAGGCGTCTCCACGCCCGAAACCCTAAAACCGAAACTTGCAAACTTGCTGTTAGGGTCTTGGGGTCCAGGGCACAAAAGCTAAAGCCTCAACCCCAGGGCTTAAAGGCTAAAGCCTCAAACCACCTCGGGATTCAGGGTTTATAGATAGGGTTTATGAGGGCTGAGGGATGAGCTGAGGGATGAGCCCTGAAAAATGCCGAGGGTGAATGTCTGTGGGCTACAAGGACCACGGGCACTGTGTCCCTTTGCACAAAGCGCTCGCCCCCCCCTCCCCTCCCAGGACATGAAAACGCCTACTGAACCCTAAACCCTAAACCCTAAACCCTAAACCCTAAACCCTAAACCCTAAACCCTAAACCTAAACCCTAATCCCTACCCAGGAACCTGTGGAGTGCACCTCCCCCCCCTGAGCGCCGCAGTGATCCCAAAGCTGGCTGCGGCGGGCGATTCTGTGTAGGCCGGTTTCGGGTTTAGGGTTTAGGGTTTAGGGTTTCGGGTTTCGGGTTTCGGGTTTCGGGTTTAGGGTTTAGGGTTTAGGGTTTAGGGTTTAGGGTTTAGGGTTTAGGGTTTAGGGTTTAGGGACTCCCCGCCAACCCAACCTAACCTTGAACACTCTCATGATAGCACATCATTGGTGAACTTTGCCGCTGGGTGCTTCAGAAGGTCCCCAAAATAATGCCTTAACAAGCCCAAATCCCCTCCTAAACCCTACAGCCTAAACCCCTGGCTCCTTCTAAGGGGTAAGGGAAAAGGGGGGCTTAATATTGGGGGAAGGGCGTATATCACCACTGACTTGAGGGGTTGAGAGTAGAATGGTTTAGGATTTGGTGGTGATGGGTTGCGGGTTGATCCACTGCAAGCTCCTAAACCTGAGCCCCAAACCCTATAAACCCTAAACCCTGAACCCTGAACCCTGAACCCTGAACCCTGAACCCTGAACCCAACAGGTCTGGCGAGGCGCTGTTCAGCCTCGGAACCGCGAATCAGGTTCTCCACCACTAAGAGCCCTGAAGGCTTCAGGGTTTTAGGGCTTCGGGCTTTTGGGGTTCTGGGCTTTTTTAGGGTTCTTTAGAGTTTTCAGGGCGTAGGAGTTAGGGTTTTAAGGTTTAGAGTTTAAGATCTAGGGTAGTAGGGTTTAGGGTTTACAAGGGGCAGTTTAGGATGTTAAGAAACTGAGAAGTTTCAGGGCTTTTGGTTTTGGGGGTTCTGGAGGCCTTCAGGGTCGAGGGGTGTGCCGAGGATGTGAGGGGCAGAGGGGCGTGGAAACCCCCAATACCCCTAAGCCCTAAAACCCCGAACCCCAAAGCGGTTTAGGATTTAGGCTTTAGGGTTTAGGGTTTAGGGCCGAAGACCGGCAAAGGATGGAACCCCGAAACCCGCCCCGCCGAAGCTGCACAGTACGCGCCTTTCTGGCGGTCGTTCATCGCGGCATCCTCGCTCCTAAGCTACGGGCACTGCCCTGGAAAAAGTGAACGTTTTGGGGCGTGTGAGCCTGAGAGAGGCGGGTTTAGGGTTGAGAGGGTGGCTTGGAGGAGAAAAACGGATTTCCCAGGCGAACGGCTACCTTGTCAGTTTCCTAAGCAAACACATGAAGGAGAACCTGTAGGGTCATTACCCCAAACCCCAAACTCTGCCTGGAAGCTTTGCAGGCTAGTTACCCGCTCGACTACAAAGTAGGGTTTTTAGCGCAACCTCCGAGCTCGCGGGCTGGTCTGGGGTTCAGGGTACCCACACAAACCCTGATCCAACTAAGTGCGCAACCCCCCCCCCAAAAAAAAAACACAAAAAACAATATAAATATATATATATATATCAACAAATTAATAAGTATTATTCTTCTTATGATTATAAGAGGAAGAATAACAACAGTAATAACTCCTCGACCCGAATCCTTGTACCCCGAACACCGCGCGTCCCAGAGCCTCCCGCAAGAAAAGGCCCCCTTGAAAAGCTGAGCCGAGTCAAGGAGCAGCTTGAGAACATCTGCCTCCTGCTCCGGCGTGAAACCTGGCCCGGCTTCGAGGCTTTTTGCTTTGGGAACCCTAAACCCTAAACCCTAAACCCTGAACCCTAAACCCTAAACCCTAAACCCACTTGGAAGTCAAGGGACCTCGGGCTTTAGGGGATTAAGGGAGTTGGGGTTGGGGCGTTGAGGGTAAAGGGTGGGCCTAGGGGTTCAAGGTTCGACACCCTCCCACTCGTGAAATGAAAAAGTGGACTTCTTCTGTTTACATAAGCAATACTGCCCCTGAACGGGTCGGAGCCGATGCACAGTCCCGCAACCAAAAATCAACCCCAGCAAACCCTGACACCTAAAGCCCCAAAGCCTAAAACCGCTAAACCTATAATCCCTGAACCATATTTTCCCTGAACCCTAGAATCCCCAAGCCCTAAACCCAATAATTCAGAGAAACCTGAAACCATGTAATCCCTAAACCCCAAACCTAAAACCCCAACCCGAAACCCAAAATCTTAAACCCCAAATAACCCAGCTCTAAACCCTAAACCCAAAAACCACAAAAAAAAAAAAAGACCCTAGACCCAAAACCCAAAACCCTAAAAACCAAACCCTAAACCCTAAACCCTACAGCATCGGCGGCCTAGCCGTCGGAGCATGTCGAAAGGCTGGAAGAGCCACCGTGCGAGCAAGGTGCCTCTCTGGCTCCAGCTCCAAGGGGTTTTGGAGGGTTTAGGGTGTAGGGTTTAGGGTTTAGGGCTTAGGGTGTAGGGTTGGGTTGTGTATTCAGGCTTGGGCGTTTTAGGGTTTAGGGTTCATGCATTTCAGTTTAGGGATTGGGGTTTTGGAGTATGTTTGAGCACCCTGAACTCATCCAAAACAGCCTACGATTCCCGGAACCCGCAAACCTTTAATCCCTAAAGCCTCAACTCACCATTTCCACCCCAAATCTTAAACTCCAATTCTAAACCTTTCCCTAAGTCCCTCCCAGACAATATATCGAAGTTCAATCACAGGGGCGCGCCCCCAGGATCCACAAAGGAACCAGCAGAGAGCTGTATCCCACCCCTAGACCCTAAACCCCAAACCCCTGAAGCCGCACACAAGGAGCCCTGGGTCCCATGCAACCCCCCTAAACCCAGGGTTTAGGGTTTAGGGTTTAGGGTTTAGGGTTTAGGGTTTGTGGTTTGGGGTTTAGGGTTTAGGGTTTAGGGTTTAGGGTTTAGGGTTTAGGGTTTCAACGAACAAACGCGCCTCTCGGTGGCAACGGAATCTGGTTGGGGTTCCCTTTCAGCCAGTCCAGGACCTGAAAGCGCGCAATCTCTTGGGGTTTCGGGGCTTTGGGATGCTTCTCCCTTATACTAACCGTAACCGTCCCTAATAGGGATGATGACAGGGGGTAAGGTAATCCCCAATAAGGGCTGGTAGTATAAGGGGGAGCATCCCAAGGTTCAGGGCTTTGGGGGTCATTGGGGGCTTGGTGTTTTGGGGGCTTGGGGGTTTAGGACTTTGGGGGTTATAGGGCCTGGGGTACCTTCTCCATGTGGCCCTCTTAGGAGGAGCCCCATTGATCATGACAAAAACGGAGCCAGCTCGAGGAAACCTACAACAACCCCCTCAGAAGGCTGGGGCCTTCGAAGGGTGGTCGGGGTTCCTATCCGAAACCTGAAAGAGTCACGTGTCGTTGTGAGGTATTGACTCCACTTCTGTGGAAGGGGGCAAGGTGGGGCACTACCTCAAGGCTCCAGTGTCGGGCGGCGACAGAATTTTGGGTTCAGGCTTTGGGGTTGAGGCTTCTCCACGAGTAGGTTTACGTCCAACACTTATGACTCCTATCAGAATACCCAAACGGTTTTAAACTCCCCAGGAAACTTGGCCCAGTCACGTAGACCGCACGGTCCAGCGGCAAGAAGAATGCGCTGGCGGCCTGCCGCGCAAGAATCATGGGTTCCCCCACTACCCCCCTCAGGACTAGCGCCCGTAGGCTTCCGGCTTTTTGGGGATGATTGGGCCCAAAAGAACCTAGGGGTGATATAGAGGGGGGTGGAAGGGGAACCCATGAAACAAGGGCTCCTCCACTACAACGATTGGGGCTTATGGGCTCTCGTAAACCGTCAAAGATCCTAAAAGCCTCGAACCCTGAAACCCTCAAACCCTGAAACCCTAAACCCTCAAGGCCCTGAAACTTTAAAACCCTGAAGCTCTCTCAAAAACACAAACACAACTCAAAGACCCTAAAGCACCCTCAACCCCCCCCCCCCCCCCGAAAATATAAATTATATATACATATACATATACATATACATATACATATACATATACATATACATAGACATAGACATATACATATACATATATGTATACATATATGTATGCATGTTTATATATATATATATATATATATATTAAATGGAAAAAAGCTTCAAACCCTGAAAAGTCCAAAGCTGGGGTGCGACTTACATTGGCCGCACTGCAACCCGCACGGTCTCCAGAAAAGGCTTCCAAAACCCACCCCCCAAGTTCCTGTTCTGGGATGAGGGGGCGTTCTTGTCCATATGGGTTCAGTTCTTGTCCCTCCGGGTTGATAGTTTTAGGGTTTAAGGTTGCGGGTTTCGGGGTTGGGGTTTGGGGCTTGGGGTGTTCTTAACCCTTGAAAAGCCCCAAGTGAGCCAACAAAGAACGAAACTTCTGGGCTGAAGCCGGCACCGGGACCCTGCCTCGTGGGCACCCCCCGCATTCAGCGCGATGCAGTTCCTCCGGGCCACGCTGCTAGACCAAGCTATAGGGCGGCTTAGGGCTTAGGGCTTAGGGCGTTTTTCAAGGCCCTGAACTCTAAATGTCCAAACCGTGAAGCCATTTGGAGATACGGCTTCGGGTTTAGGATGTTTAAGCGCCCCGCCCAACAAACCCTCAGGGAACTTGGGATTTTGGACCTCCTAGGTGTACTCGCAGGACCGAAACCCTTTCGGGATCCAAACTCCTACCTCCAAGGTGGCACCCCATTTTCGTTTGAGGGATCACAGCCCCACAGAAAGCCTATGATGCGCTGGAGGATGAGGGTTTAGGGTTCTTAGCGCCTTTAGGTTCCCTCAGCAAGGCCGAAACAAACCTGGCACCTGGAAAGCCCCCGGAAGCAAACAGGAACACGCACGCTGGCAACCCACAAACCCCAAGCAATCGAACTGAGACTAAGCAGAAGCTAGCAGCCAGGACAAACGTGCGCGGAAAACACACACGCACACACACACACACACACACACACACACACACACACACACACACACACACACACACACACACACACACACACACACACACACACACCCACACACACACACACCCACCCACCAACCCACCCACCCACCCACCCACCACCCCCACCCACCCACCCACCCACCCACCCACGCACCCACGCACGCACGCACGCACGCACGCACGCACGCACTCATGTGAACAACAAAAGAAGCGCTCCCGGAGCGGGCGATGACAGGGGAGCCACTGGAGCCCCCAGAGGTGTTGGAGCCAGCTCCTCTCTCTGTGGGCGGAAGGAAGAAGCGTTGTTGTTTTTTGTTTGGGGGGGGGGGGGTTCAGCGTTCTTTTGGGGGGCTTTTCTCGGGATTTTTAGGGTTTTTGGGGGGTTTTAGGGCGAGGTCGGGGCTTTCAGGTTCAGGGTGCGGTAAAGGGGGGGGCCGAGGAGGAAAGGTTCAGGGTTTCTAGGGGTCGCGTGGCACCCGCCTGTCCTGCATAGAAGGTGTTCTCGTCCTCGTAGTTGTCATGGTACTCCGGGCAATTGCCTGAGGTTGGGAATCTGGCAACAAAGAAAGAACTACAGGGCTTCAGTGAGAACCCTAAACCCAAAACCCTAAACCCTGAACCCTAATTAAACCCTAAACCCTAAACACGAACTCCCAGAAACGGACCCAGTTGCGGTCCACGCGAGCAATTGTCGCTGGAAGAATCTGGATTTTCTCTGCGTTGTCATTGCCGATGACCTGAATGTGAGAGAAAAACCACCGACAGCTGAACCCAAGGGCCCCAAACCACCCTGAAGGGAACTTCGCACGGGAGTTCGGCTTGAGGGCTTGTTTTCGGCAAAGCACCTCAAGCCGGATTTAGGAAATTTAGGAGCTTCGGGTTCAGGGTTTGAGTGCAGCTCGACAGTGGTTCAGGATGAGGAGCCGGTTTTGGGCTTTCGGGTTTTTTAAGGGTTTCCCCCATTCGGGTTCCTTACACCGTCCCAGCGCTACTAGGGTCCCATCTTTACACCCCCAACGGGCCAAGTGGCGAGAACTTCCGTGCCGACTCGCCTGCCACGCACGCAAGGCCCACAGCGAGGACTTGGGTTTAGGGTTTAGGGTTCAGGTTTGGTAGGCTTCGAGTGCCGTGTGGTTGTCATGAAAAACCGAACCATTGAACAGCTTGCAACCAATGCTAGAATACAAGTTACACTGGCATGTCTACAGTGCTGCTCGCAAAGAAGGAAACGATTTAGGGCGCAAGTCTGGGAGCAACCTCCCCGCTTAACTTAACCATGTACGCAACGAACCTCTGAGCCACAGGTTTCGAGCTTAGGATTTCCCAAGCCCAGAAGCCTCCGATCTTCGCCTACGCTCCACAAGTCCTGAACGCGCCAAAATCTCAGCATTACTGTAGAAGCCTTGCTCCTGCAGAAACCCACACACACACAGACACGTCTGAACCAGACGACCTCGAAGTTCTAACTCTAAAATTTATACCCGAAACCCTTGTTTACCTTAACTAGATGAGTCTTGAAACTGAGAGCATATACCCCATGCTCCTCGAATCCTTTAAGTTTCTAGGCCCCAGCAACCTGGGAATAAGAGCGGTCTAATTTTCATCTTAAGATGTGAACCTATGAATCTACCAGGGGAACCCCAGCCAAGGAATGAGGGCACCACCGGTCACAGGTTTCCCTACTATCCCCCTCTTTTCTACCCCCCCCCCCCCCCAGGGTTCCGCCCTTAAATAACCTTGACTAGGCTTAATTATCCCCAAATAGCCTTAATTCTTGGGGAATCTAAGGGGGGGGGGGGGGGGGGGGGGGTAGGTTAGTAGGGAAACCTATGAACTGATGGACATCCGAGGGCCAAAGAAAACAAGCAACCCGTCTAGCCCTTAGACCTGAGACTCTGAGACACGACACCTAAAAACCTCTCAAAACCCTCAAACCCTAAAACCCTAAAACCCCTAAACCCCTAAAAGCCCTAAAACCAGCAAACCCTCAAATCTTAAAACCCTAAAACCCTAAAAGCCTAAAAAAACCCGACAAACCCTGAAACCCTAAACCCTCAAAACCCCTCAAACCCCTCAAACCCTCAAACCCCTCAAACCTTCAAGCCCTCAAACCCTGAAACCCCCCAAACCCTTCAAACCCTGAAGCCCTGAGACCCTCAAAACCCTTAAAACCCCAAACCCCTAAAAACCCTAAAAACCCGCAAAACCCTCAGAACCCTAACACCCTCAAAACCCTAAAACCTTGAAACCCTCAGACACTCGAACCCTCAAAACCCTCAAAAGGCTAAAACCCTCAAAACCCTCGAAACCCTGAAACCCTAAAACCCTAAACCCTAAAACCCTAAACCCTAAAACCCTCTCAAAACCCTAAAGCCCAAAAAACCCTGAAAAACCTGAAGCCCCCAAACTCTAAACCCTGAAAACCCTGCAATGCACGGCGGGGTGGCAGCTCCGGAGGCGACACCTGGGTGCACAAAGAGTCCCAAAGTTGAGGGGTTGGGGTGTAGGGTTTAGGGTTTAGGGTTTAGGGTCTAGGGTTTCGGGTTTCGGGCTTAGGGCTTAGGGCTTAATTAGGGCTTAGGGCTTAGGGTTTTATAGGGGTTCGTGGCTCAGGGAAAGAGGTCCAAGGTGCAAAAACCCTCAATGCCCTTGAAAGCCCCAAACAAAAACCCTAAACCCCAAAGCTCTGACCGAGCCACTGCGATGGCCGTCGGGGGCGTGAAGCGGAGCTCGGTGGAGTCGAACTGAAAGAGGCCGAAGTCGTGCACGGGATCCCGGTAGACCTCAGGGTTCAGGCTTAGCTAGGGGTTTAGGGTTTAGGGTTTAGGGTTTAGGGGTTAATTCAAGGGTTTAAGGGGTTTTTAGGGGTTTAAGGGTTGAAGGGCTGAAGGGATGTAGAAATTAGGCCATGTCGCCATTTGGGGTGTATGAGTTTGAGGACTTTGGGGTGTAGGGTTTAGGGTTTAGGGCTTAGGTTTTAGGGTTTAGGGTGGTTTGGGGAGGGGTCCTTGCAAGAAACTAGGCAACGGAGGTTGTTCTGGGAGCCCAAGGACTACCTGAGTGTTCCCTGGCGCTTTTTCTATGCGTCTTGTTTCAGAAGTAAGAATCAAATAGCGCCACGCACTTAATTAAATCCCTAAGCCCCTTAGCCCCTAACCCCTAAACCTCCAAACCCCGAACCCCCAAACCACGTATGGACCCTAAAAGCCCGAAGCCCTGAACACCTTGCGGCGCGGGAGTTTGTTCACTTTGTTCACTTCTGATGGCTGCTGCCGCAGGGGGCTGCCCTGCAGTCTGAACTGCGCACCTGTTTAAGGTTTAAGCTTAGGGTCTAGGGTCTAGGGTCTAGGGTTTAGGGTTTAGGGTTTAGGGTTAGGGGTTTAGGGGTTTCGGGTTTAGGGCTAAGCACCCACATGAGACCGGCCGCCGGCCAAATCGGCAGGTCGTCGTGCTCGTAGAAAGTCGCACGGGCCCGGATCGGTCCTGTCCTGGTCGGAGGGGGTTTTTGGGCGCCTGATTCGGGTTCAAGGCTGGAGGTTGCAGGCTTAAAGGGTCCAGGGTAGAGTCCAAGGTTTTACGGCTTGGGGTTCGTGTTCCATCCCTTTGTCAGCATCTGGCTGGGCAGCCCCCGGTATCTGCGGCCGGGACGACATCTGTTTTTTCGCCCACTCGGGCTTGCAGGATGTCGGGACGATGCTCCAAACCCCCCAAAACGTCCCCCCCAAACCTGAAGCCGCAAAGTAGGGTTCTGCAACCCCATAGAAGCCAGCGAATCCCGTCCCGACAATGGGAAATACTGAGACGTTAAAAACACCCTAAAACTGAAAAAAAAAAAAAAAGGCCAAAGCGAAGACTTCTTTCCAGACCGCTTTGCGAAAAGGAGGCAAGCTGACAGCCTATTTTTGGGTGCCCACGAGCCAAGTCTTTATGTAGGTTGGTCTTTACAACCCTCTAAGAAAAATCCTGAACAGGATCCTCTTAAACTCAATAAAGGAAAATATGAATTATCCCAAGGGCCCACCCAGCGAAAATCTATGTACAGGCCAGGAAGCGTGATGATGTGACGGTTCGTGAGAATCAGGGCTTCCTCCAAGGTGTCGATGATTTTGGGGGTTTAGGGGTTAGGGTTTAGTGTTTAGGGTTTGGGGTTTTGGGCTTATAGGGTCTATACGGGGTTTGGGGGTTCGGGGTTTGGAGGCTTAGGGGTTGAGGGGCTAAGGGGCTTGGGGGTCTAAGTGCGTTAGCTGCATAGGAGAGGGCTTGCACAAAGCTGGAGAGTAGAACTTTTATTCGAGCCTCTCTGGTTTAAGCCGGTCTGCACGCAAGGCTGCAAGCCCTAAGCCTCAACAAATCCGAAATCAACCTTAACCCTGAAAATTCCGAAGCCCGAATCCAAAGCTCTCAACACCATAATAAATCCCCTACATCCCGAACCCTAAACCCTAAACCCTCCGGTTTAGTCAGTCCTTTGGGTTGTCGAGGCTGACGACGAAGCCAGTGCCGTCCCAAACGCCTGCCGCGCAGTCCTCGTACGAGCGGACCTGGGGTGGGGCGGTGGGGGGGGGGGGGGTTTAGGGTTTAGGGTTTCGGGTTTAGGGTTTAGGGTTTAGGGTTCAGGGTTTAGGGGGGGCAAAGAGGTGTTGGTGCTCGGTAGGGTCTATCGGGCTTCGGGTTACGCTTATGAAGTGTGTGTTATTTTCTGCTTATCTGGTGTTTATGATTGTTACTTCTTGTTACTTATTGTTCAGGCGCTGGTAACCCTTCCTAAACGAGAGGAAGCTGCCTTACGGATTGTGCATGCTTGCCATAATTTAGAAGGTACAGGGGGCCTTAGGGGCGTTTTACGGTTTAGGAACAGGCTTGGGTTTAGGGCTCGGGGTTCAGGGTACTGGGAGCGTGGCGCTTAACCTGTTGGGGCATTACGGGGTTCTTGAGAGCTTCGGGCTTTCGAAGCCACTTCAGCTTCAGTACCCCTTTTTGGCAAACGAGGCCTAAATGAGGATCCGAAACCTAACCAAAGGGAACACGCCCCAAACCCTATACCCTAGGCCCTAAACCCTAAACCCTAAACCCAAAGCCCTTTACCCTTTACCCTAAACCCTAAACCCTAAACCCTAAACCCTATTTACTCCAAACCCAGCCGCTGCAGTGACCCGAATGGCCACGATTGCGTTCTTCACCTGGGCGAGGGCTGTACCCCCCCAAAGCTCAGAATTCGGGGCTTGGGATTCAGGGTTTAGGGTTTAGGGTTTAGGGTTTAGGGTTTAGGGTTTAGGGTTTAGGGTTTAGGGTTTAGGGTTTAGGGGAACCCCCCAAAGCTCACAATTCGGGCTTGGGGTTTAGGGGTTTAGGGGTTTAGGGGTTTAGGGGTTTAGGGGTTGAGGGGTTTGGGAGTTTAGGGGTTTAGGGGTTTAGGGGTTTAGGGGTTTAGGGGTTTAGGGGTTTAGGGGTTTAGGGGGTTAGGGGTTTAGGGGTTTAGGGGTTTAGGGGTTTAGGGGTTTAGGGATTTAGGGGTTTAGGGGCTTAGGGGTTTAGGGGCTTATAAGGGGTTTAGGGGTTTAGGGGTTTAGGGGTTTAGGGGCTTAGGGGTTTAGGGGTTTAGGGGTTTAGGGTTTAGGGTTTAGGGATCATCGCCCCACCTGGTCGATGACATCCGCCCACTCGGCCGAGATCGCCTTGGGGGATGTTTGCGCAGAACTCTTCGCCGGCTTGGGGGGTTTAGGGTTTAGGGTTTAGGGTTTAGGGTTTAGGGTTTAGGGTTTGGGGTTTAGGGTTTAGGGTTTGGGGTTTAGGGTTTAGGGTTTAGGGCCATAGATCCCGGTACGCGCCAAACCCTAAACCTAAACCCCCTTCATGAGGGACCCAAAATGAGTACGTCTGTAGGTTCCGACTTTAGTCGTATTCCGAGAAACGGGGTTGGACCGTCAGGGAAAGGGTGCCCAAACCTGAAGCATGGGAGTATGTGGAGTACCCTTTCGGGTAGAGAGCTTGGGGTCCTGCAGGGCTGAAACCCTAAACCCTAAACCCTAAACCCCTAAGAGTCTAGGGTTGAGACGGCGCCGGGGGGGCTTGAGGCCCCTCCCCTTATTTGCAGCCCGCCGCGCCGAGGACACAGGCTCTCACTCTTGGGCCTCTTGGGTTAGGGTCTAGGGTTTAGGGTTTAGGGTTTAGGGTTCAGGGTTCAGGGTTTAGGGCTTAGGGTTTAGGGTTTAGGGTTTCGGGTTTAGGGTTTAGGGTTTAGGGTTTAGGGTTTAGGGTTTAGGGTTTGGGGATTAGGG